CCCATCCCCCAACAAGGGCACATGGAGACTACCAGGGAAGAAGTGTCATCTTAATACAGTGAGTAGAGGCTGCTGTGGCCTGTGCACACACCTGGGGGACTTTATCAGAGGAATCAATCCACAGTCTCCACTGACTTTGAATCTGGCCTAGAGGGTTGGTGGGGGGCAGGTCACCCTCCTGGCCTGTGAAGTGCCCCCTCCCCTTACTCTACCCCAGCACCTGGACTCAACCTGCCAGGGCTGAGCACCAACCAACTTCTGGCAAGGAGGCAGCTGGCTCTGAGAATGCCTCCGCTCTCTCCATTGGCAGTTAGCTGAGAAGGGATCAATCCCCTGTTCCCTGTGACCGAGAATGCTGTAACTGCACAGTAGGGCATGAAGTGGAGCTGAGTCCCTGGGCTTCCGAGGCTCAGAGTTGACTGAGTGCCTAGAGTAGGTCATTGCACAGGGTTCTGTGCTCACACTGAGGAGCACATAGACCCTTGTGTGGGTGTGGTTCATGTGCCTGTGCGGGTGGGCTGTGTAGCCACTAAAGCTCACCCTGGGCATTAGTCACCTCAGCGGGGGGTGGGGAGGTGGGGGATGAGGCTGTGATAATGCCAGCTGCCATGTTTAAACCTTCTCCCCTGCTGATTATAGAGATTAGCCACACCCAACTAGGGAGGGTGCCACTTTGGACTCTTGCCCCACTCAAGTTCTGGCTGGGACTCCCTGGCCCTACCCAGGACACACCTCAGGATATCCACTGAAGGAGCAGACATTCCACTAAGCCATAGAGGCACATTTCAAAGATGAAAACCAACAAGTGTTTCAACAAATGCCTAAAAATAAACATAGAAATTCAAGGAACAAAACACTACAGTATCAGAATGTGTAGACAAAGAGATTGATGAAATGCCTGAAAAGGAATTCGAAAGAGTGATTACATGATTATAATATGATATATGATACATAATATTATATGATATGATATAATATTATATGATTATATATATGATATGGTTACTCAAAAACACAGAAAAGCAAATACAGGAGTTAAAGAAATCTATACATGACACTGATGAAAAATTCTCCCAGGAGATAGAGATATTCAAGAGTAATCTAAACTGAATTACTGGTAATGAAGAATTCAATATGTCAAATAAAAAATACAGTGTAAAGCCTTAACAACACACTCAGTGAGGAAGAATAAAAAATATCTGAGCTAGAAGACAAATCCTTGGAAATAGCTCAGTCAGACAAAGAAGAGAAAGATGAGGAGGAGGAAGAGGAAGAAGGAGAGGAGGAGGGGGAGAAGGAGATTATCAGAAGTTTTTGTTCTTATCTAGAGATATAAAGGAATTTGTATGTTTAGTCTTTCTCCCAGAGGACCTGGTCATTCTTGAATAATGTATAACAGATAAAACCATTTTTTCCAGAACCAGATCAAATGGATATAGTGCACATTAGTGTCATTGTGAGACCTCAGTAACATAGGTGTAGTTCATAAATTGGGTATGTTTAATTTCACATTTTCCTTAGGTGGAAAAGAAGCTAGATGATCATTTTATATATTTTATGTATTAGGAATATAAAGTAGGGTCTGGCATTGTAGCACAGCAAGTTAAACTGCCGTTTGTGATACTAGCATCTGGCACAAAGGTTGAAGTCCTGGCTGCTCTATTTCCAACCCAGCTCTCTGTTAATGTGCCTGGCAGGGAAGTGGATCATGGCCCAGGTGCTTGGGCCCCTGCAACCCACATGGGAGACCTGAGTGGAATTCCTGGCTCCTGACTCCTGGCTTTGGCCTGGCCCAGCCCTGGCTTTTGTCATTTGGGGAATGACTGAGTGAATGGAAGATCTCTCTCTCTCTTTCTCTCTCTATCTCTCTCTCTCTGCCTTTCAAATAATAAAAAATAATCTTTTTATAAAGGAATATAAAGGCTGGCACCTTGGCTTACTTGGCTAATCCTCCGCCTGTGGCGCTGGCACCCCGGGTTCTGGTCCTGATTGGGGTGGCGGTTACTAGTCCCGGTTGCTCCTCTTCCAGTCCAGATCTCTGCTGTGGCCCGGGAGGGCAGCAGAGGATGGCCCAGGTGCTTGGGTCCCTACACCCACATGGGAGACCGGGAGGGAGCACCCAGCTCCTGGCTTCAGATCAGTGCAGCGCCGACCATAGCGGCCATTAGGGGAGTGAACCAACGGAAGGAAAACCTTTCTCTCTGTCTCTCTCTCACTGTCTATAACTCTACCTGTCAAATAAAAATCAAAAAAGGAATATAAAATAAAAAATGTATTGAGATATCTGATTTTCTGATTTATAATTTTATTTGTACAATGCCTTTACTGTCATTAGTTTCCTAATAATAAAAGAAAAAAATGGATACTTTTAAATTCATGATTCTGCTTTTCTAAAGTCATCTTTATGGGATTCCTACCTTCATGCTCATGGTGTTCAGCATCACTGACACGTCTACATCGTTCATCCTAAGAGGACCTCCCTCTGTGGACAGAGAAGGAAGGCAATGTAGCTGGTGTAGAAGCAAACTCAGCTGGATTCACAGTGGAGAGCTCTATCCCTTTACACCAAACTATTTCCGTTAGCTCTTACGTAGCTTCCTCCCCACCCTGGGGCAGATTTGTGGAGCTCTAGCAGTTGTAGAATAGAGATTTTGCAACAAGAAATTCAGTAGCAATAAAACAGTGATGCCAGTGTTCTTGTGTTTTGAGATTTCTAACCAATACCTTTCTGTACCTTTCTTAGAAACTTGCATTAAATTCAAAATGTATAAAAAGTGATCCCTGTTAAATATAAGAGTGGGAATAAGAGAGGTAAGAGATGTACAGTTTGGGACATGCTCAATCGGACTTGCCCCAAATGGTGGAGTTAGGAATGTGCCAGGGGATTCCAATACAATCCCATCAAGATTGCATGTACCAATTCCATCTCACTAGTCCAAGTGATCAATTTCAGTTCACAATTGATCACACTGATAGGTCTAAGAGTCAAAGGGATCACACAAACAAGACTAGTGTCTGCGAATACTGATAGAATCAAAAAGGGAAAGAACGATCCAACATGGGAAGTGGGATACATGGCAGACTCATAGAATGGCAGGTGTCCTAAACAGCACTCTGGCCTCAGAATCAACCCTTAAGGCAGTCAGATCTGGCTGAAGAGCCCATGAGAGTATTTTAGGCATGGAAAGCCAAGACACTCTGGCCAAAATAAATAAATAAATAAATAAATAAATAAATAAATAAATAAATAAATAAATGAAAGGTCTCTGCGAGTGAGATCCCAGTGGAAAGAACGGGGCCATCAAAGAAGGAAGTACCTTTCTCTGAAGGGAGGAGAGAACTTCCACTTTGACTATGACCTTGTCTAAATAAGATCGAAGTCAGCAAACTCAAGAGGCTTCCATAGCCTTGGCAGCTCATGACTAGAGCCTAGGGAGATATCTGATGCCATAAACAAGAGTGTCAAATTGTTAAGTCAACAACAGGAGTCACTGAGTACTTACTCCTTATGTGGGATCTCTGTCCTTAATGTGTTGTCCAATGTGAATTAATGCTATAACTAGTACTCAAACAATATTTTACACTCTATGTTTCTGTGTTGGTGCAAACTGATGAAATCTTTACTTAATATATACTAAATCGATCTTCTGTGTAGAAAGAGAATTGAAAATGAATCTTGATGTGAATGGAATGGGAGAGGGAGCGGGAGATGGGAGGGGTGCGGGTGGGAGGAAAGTTATGGGGGGGGGGAAGCCATTGTAATCCATAAACTGTACTTTGGAAAATTATATTTACTAAATAAAAGTTAAAAAAAATTCAAAAGGTATAAAACCTTTCTTTTTAAAGATAGGTAAAATCTTGCAAACATAGTGTTGAGTGAAAGGAGTAAGTTCACAAAAGAGAACTGATCACATGACCTTTTATAGAAAAGTTCACATGCAGGCCAAAGGAAGCTGCAGTGTTAGGAGCTGCGGGGTTAGCTAGCCTTGTCGGGGGCGGTATCATTGGAAGGCGGGGAAGGGGTAAAATTGATCTGGGCACTGGCTACACAGGTGTTCCCTTTTTGAAGATTCATTGACCTTTTTTATCCTTCCATAAAATTCTTTTTTAAAGCCTTATGTTCATAAGTGGTAGTTCTGTTTAAATATTTTAAACTGGAAGGACAGTTCTCACACATTCATTATGCTCTCTGTACTGCCGTTTCCCACAAAAGTCACTTACCCTTGGTGGTGCTGTTCCTAAGCCTGTTAGTGTGTTTCCTTGCCATGGAGCCGGCTACCGTGGAGCCAGGGTGAAGTCGGTCACAAAGTGCTTGCCCAGGCCCCTTCCTCGCCTCCTGGGGTTAGGGTGAAAGGAGACAAAAAGGCACTGCAGAAGGGCTCTTGTATGCAGATGTCAATCTCTATCCACAGACACCGCCAGCAGCATTTTCCGGGAATTCTGATAAGGCTCTGCGCTTCAGTCAGCTTCTCGTAACTTCACAATCGCATACCGACTTTTCCCCATATAAATAGCTGCAGAAGAGCAGAAGTAACAATAGCTCTATCATTTTTGATATGTTCCCTGAGGTCACAGCCTGAAGAAAATAAGGCTAAGGCTAGAAATTACCCTGAGCAAAACTAAGCATTGATCAAAATAGAAACAGATGGCCATGGCCATGGTGTTTCTCCGGGCTCCTAACGTTGAGCTAAAGCCATAGCTTTCTGAACCCTGTAAACAGAGGCAACACAGGAAGAACTTAGCAAAACCTTTTGCAGTCCTCACAACATACAGGCTAAAGCCAGCATGAATCATGAATATTATGGGTAAGCCCAAGAGCATAAACCATTTTCTTGCAAACCATTGCTTCTGTTCTTAAATATGACCAATTTTTTTTTTTTGCAGGGTGGGGTGGGGGCCTTCCTTTCAGTTAGTCTAATGTTTTCTGAGCTAGGGGGAGGTGTCGTTTTAAATGTTCCTGCTGGCGATTTACATGTTGTGACTTCTTTTTCCCTCTGCAGTGTTCTCTGTCTTCATCAGAAGAAGACAGACTCATTTCCATCCGGAGACCTAAAACACCAACCTCAGGGGACTTCTCTGACCTGCACACTCAGACCAACTGGACCAGGTCACTTCCACTGCCCACCCCAGAAGAGAAGATGCGGCAGCAGGCACAGACCGTCCAGGCTGATGTGGTTCCTATTAACATAACCGGTACGCCCTGCTAGGCCACAGATTCAGAGTGTGCTTGGGAGAATGACCATGGCTTTCTCTTTGTTCCAGGCTCTTAGCATTTCATGTAGACATCAGAGTGAGCAGCTGCGGGCTGCCTGGCTTCCTGCTCTGTGTTTAACGGAGGGGACACTGGAACTGTGTGTGTGCGCGTGTGTGTGTGTACTTGTAAAATACTCATTGCTTCGTAGATCAGAAGACTGCGTCACCAAATGCTGGCGTCGAAGAACACGCTCATCCAACCGCTCATATAAAGGGCTTCATTTTTGATTGAATTGCTTTTTAAGTACGACTTTGTTTTTATAGGGTCACCTTCTAACTGTGATCCTGTGTAAGAAAGAAAAGTTGTGTATTTCGTGCATAAGGATTATATTAGATATTTATAGAAGTAAAGAAACAATCATTTTGTTTCTCAGTGATAGATTTTCTTGTACAAAAGGGGAAAATTCTTGAAATAAAAAAATCAAGTGAATTATAAGGAACTATAAAATATTTTTAAGACTTAATAAGGTGATAAAATTATATTTTGATTTCTGTAATTTGAGTTCCACAACCTTCAAATAAGAATTCATTCCTCTGAATATAAAATTATGAGAATATTTTACACTAGTCTACAATATGAAGATAACTGGCCAGACCGGAAATTCAAGTTCTTATGTAATATTTTAGTCAGCCTTTAGTCATTCGTGATAAGGTTATAAATAACAAGGTACATAAAGCTCAAAGATCTCTTCCACAAACTTAAAAGGGCTGTTAAAAAGTACCCAAGGGGAGGGGTCCAAGGCGTGAGGAAGGTCGAAGTGCAGAATAGGCAAGCTGAGGTTTAACAGCTGCAGCCATGGGTCTGTGTGCTCAATAGAAATAAACGACTAGTAGTCATCATTGATAATCAGCCCATAACTCATGGTTCACGGAATCAGAGCCTTAAAGAATCAAGTGACCAAAAAGTGTAAGTTTTCGTAAACAATTAGAATGGAAATCACAGCGTCTTTAGCCTCTGAAGCTGTTTCCACTAGAGAGCTTTTTGCTATGGCATTGGTGAGCTTGTTAAGGGGTCAGTCACATTTTGAGAGTTATTGAAGAATTTTTTTTAAGATTTTATTTATTCATTTGAGAGGTAGAGTAACAGAGAGAGGAAGAGACAGAGAGAAAGGTCTTCCATCTGCTGGTTCACTCCCCAAATGGTTGCAATGACTGGAGCTGAGCTGATCCGAAGCCAGCAGCCAGGAGCTTCCGCTGGGTCTCCCATGCAGGTGCAAGGGCTCAAGCACTTGGGCCATCTTCCACTGCTTTCGCAGGTCATAGCAGAGAGCTGGATCACAAGAGGAGCAGCTGGGAGATGAACCAGTGACCACATGGGATGCTGGTGCTGCAGGTGGAGGCTTATCCTACTACACCACAGTGCCAACCCCATTGAAGATTTTTAAAAAGTGTCTTACAAGATATCCAAAATTGATGTTTAGAACTCTTTTTTTTGTTTGTTTGACAGATAGAATTAGACAGTGAGAGAGAGAGACAGAGAGAAAGGTCTTCCTTCCGTTGGTTCACCCCCAAAATGGCTGCTACAGCCGGAGCTATGCTGATCCGAAGCCAGGAGCCAGGTGCTTCCTCCTGGTCTCCCATGTGGGGGCAGCAGCCCAAGCACTTGGGCCATCCTCCACTGCCTTCCCAGGCCACAGCAGAGAGCTGGATTGGAAAAGGAGCAACTGAGACTAGAACCTGGCGCCCATATGGGATGCCGGCGCCGTAGGCAGAGGATTAACCAAGTGAGCCACACACCAGCCTCTAGAACTCTTATTTTGAATTCCATAGAAATGTGATAAACAACTAGATGAATTATTTTCAATTTCATGTACATTTTTTCAGTTATTTTACTTAAAAATATACAGTATTTTATCCATTTTCTTTGTTAATCTTTCTCAATGTGTTTCTCATTCATCCAGCTCACATTTTATAAAAGTTATTTTTGTGAGTAGTCATGTTTCAGAACAAAGTATCACATTTATTGCTTTGTGAAATATATAAGCAATACTTTCTATAAGAAGATGAATTATTTGATGAAATGCAGCAGAAATGTAATTACATTCTATATAATTAAATGTCTCAGAATTAATATTAAAAGATAAAGAAACTGTGATATTAAATATGACAATCTTAATGGAGTTATGATGAAATCATTATCTTGAAATCAGAAGATTTTGAAAGAGTGGAGTTTCAAGAATAAAGAATTATTTGCAATGAAATGCATTGTCACAACAGAAGACACTGCCATAACTTTGAGTTTTAATTCTCTCCTGTTTGATGACTAAATGAATATGAATTACCTAGAATTTAAAAGGAGGACTTGAAAATGCCACACAAGAAAGGTGAATGACAAAAAAGAAATGAGCAAAATGAGTTATCTCAAAATGCAATTCACTTTTAATTGAGTGATTAACATTTTGCAGAAATGTCAAAATTAAATATAATACCTATTACATATTTATTGATCCATTTTCTGGATCTGTGTGTTCACATACAGATACTTTTCTTCAAGTATTAGTTTTCTAAATCTAGTATAAAGCAGTAAAAGTTTTTATTTTTGGTGGTTGAATTGATATAGATTATTTAGCTTCCTACTCTTTCAGGAAGTTCATGGGGAATGGAATTAAAAACATAAATTTGGGATGAATGTTTAGCCTAGAGGTCAAGATACTCATGTTCCACATTGAGCACCTGAGTTCTATTCCTGGCTCTGAAATCAGGAGATTTCAACTTCGTGCAGTTCCAGACCCTGGGAGACAGTGCTGATGGCTCAAGTAGTTGGGTTTCTAACACACCTTTGGAAGACTTGGATTAAGTCCTCCACTCACCCACCCCCATCCCCTGTAGCAGACATTTGGGGAGCAACTCTTTGAGTGGGAGCTCCCTCTCTCTCTGTCTTGCTGCCTCTCAAATTAAAAAAAAAAATACTCATGCATATGAAGGGTCTTCAAAAAGTTAATGAAAAGGTACCTTGTGAAAAAAACTATGCACGAATCTCAAAATTTCTTTGTATGTATCACAATCAACTTAAGTTTTCATTGTATTTTTTCCATGAGCTTTTTGAAGTACCCTCATATTTCTAAAGCCCTAGATTTTTGAGATAAAAGTGTAGCTTTCTATATAGGTAACTGTTATGTGCTCATTATTTGGAGTGAGCATCAATCCTCAAATTTGGTTTTCATTAAGACTCAGTAGGGGGAAAATGCAAATAAATTCATCATTTGAAATCCAGAGTGCAGTCCACCTGTCCTAGAGGGTAGAGATAGGGACGATGAGCTGCCAGCTTAAAGGCTGGTGTAGTCCTTTCAGTAATAGTCCCGTTTAGACCTGGCGTGCAGTACAAGTTGAGGATGGGGAAAAAAAGTTCTAAAAAAGTCCTCATAAATATTTTGACAATCTGGCATCAGGAATAACAACTCTTCTACCTAGAAGGTGAGTATAGTGGGAAAATGTACTTATACTTAAATTTTAAAAAGTTTTTATTTTATTTGAAAGCCAGATAGGAGAGACAGATCTTCCATCTGTGAGTGCACTCCCTAAATGCCTGCAACAGCTGGGGCTGGCTGGGACCAGGGACTCCATCCAGATCTTTCCCAGTGGGTGGCAGGAATATATGTACCTGAGCCATCACCTGTGCCTCCCAGGCTCCACCAAAGCAGGAAGCTGGAATCAGAAATGGAGTTAGGATGTGAACCAATATGGGATGTCCCAAGCAGTGTTTTAGCCTCTATGCCAAATGTCTGCCCCAACATGCTAAAGCAGTTTTTATCAACTGGCTTTATATTGATGTTTGAGCACCCTAGGTTTATTTATAAATAGTAACCAGGCCCAATGCTGCTTTTCAATGAAAGGGAATGATTTCATTCTCAGATATTTGTTGGATAACTACTCTGTGCCAGACATTAGCCGACTTCTGTAGGAGACACCAAGGTATGTGAACTATGGTGTCTATCCTTTAGAGACGTGTAGACAAGCAGGTGAAACAGTCTTTGTAAAGGACATTGCAAGATGAGGAGTTAGGTGCCTTTAATGGTGTGTCTGAGGGAGGTACATCTTCCTATGGTTTGCTTCTCAATTTCCTTGGTGCTTAGGTGATATTATCTTTTGTTTTTAAAACTGGAGACCAACTGCAACTTCAGTTAATGTTTTGCCCCTCCTTGATGTCTTGATTCAAGGAAATTTTTTTCTTTTGCTGCAGGAGGCTAATGGACCATTGTGGCTATGACTTGCCCCCTTTAAGGGCTGTTCATGCTGTTGCATATGATGACCCATTTCTCGAAGCCGTGGTGCTTTCTGGTGTTTCAGGGTCTTCTCTGTCTTTTCTGTTTTTCTCCCATTGGAAACAAAAACTTGCAAGTATTTGCAAGGTTGCAAGCACTTATTTAAGTTTGTTTCTCAGTAGGTGAAATGGGTTTTGAAAATTCAGGTCTTTAATACTCCATGTTGATTAGATAAGGCTCATAGTTTATTCCTATCAAAATAGAATGTCCACAACATTCCCACTTTGCATATGTGTCAATATTGCTAAAGAGTATTTTAATACTTTTCTTACGCATAAGAATGACAGAAATATGCAATCTGTATATGTGTATATGTGTGTATATATATATATATATGTTAAAAATTTCTTTGAGGAAAATTAACCATTTACAAAGATCAATGCTATAAAACTTAAAACCCTAAGCTGGCAAGTAATCAATAGCAGATCAATCAATAACTGACATTGTTAACAACTTTTATTGTTTGTTGGTTTCTCTTGGTGTGTTAATCACTCAAGCTCATCCTCCTGAAAAGAAAGGAGTCCAGTGGATGTGGCGATGCCTGTTTGGTTGCAGCATCACCCGAAATGTCTAAATTAAGATCAGCTTTAAGAAGTGGTTATGAAACAGAGAGAAGCAGTTCGGCTTTAACAACAGCAGTGCTACTGGGTCTCGTTGTGGATAAAGTACTGTATCACTATAAGGCTTTTGATTTTGCACTACATAGTACTTCACACCATAACACAGTCTATCAAAATTGTTAGCCCCCTTGACTGAACAACAAGCTCTCCCTCTAAGAACGCTTGATTCAGTTCTTTGTCTTATTGCACAAGACAAGATGTTGCATGGGTCTGCTTGGGGTGACCAGATGAATACTACAGATTCATCACCCCTACCACACACATGTGGGTGTAAGGAGTGATTTTGTGGACCAGAGGAACTTTGTGAATCACTTCCAAAATGATTCCTTTAAAAAAAAAAAGTCACAGGATCACTCTTTCAGGGTGTTATTGACAGATTTGCATTTGCAACCCTGGCTCACTTGGAAATGAGCTCAGGGTGCTTCCGTTGGCAGAACACACACGGAGAGGGAAAAGAGCCTTATGGTGATAGTGTGCTTTCCTTCCCTCTTTGCCCTTCAGCATCCATCATCATGTGACTGGCTAACATCATTATTAATACCTTCTTATCATTTGACAACAAGCTGCTGGAAGAACGTGCATGGTGTCAGCTTGCTTGGAAATAACATTGCTTTGCTTGTTCTACTACTCTCCATTAGGGGAGAATTTCGATCGCCAGGCCAGCCTTCGGCGGTCTCTAATTTACACAGAGACTCTGGTAAGACGACCGAAGAAAGTCAAAAGGAGAAAGACTATTACAGGAATCCCTGACAACATACAGAAGGAGCTAGGTATGGCTCATCAGAACTGTATTCTCTTGCTCCTCGTTGCTGCTCGCCACGACCGCCTAACCTCATTTGTGGTGCTTATCCAATCGATACATTCTGATAGCCCCCAAGGCCGGCTACTTGCCTGAAAGAGGCATTCGGTGCAAACCTTACCATTCCCCCATGCAGACGATTTATTGCACTGTGGGGCCAAGAGCTTCTGAAAACCATTCACGGGGGTGATAGAAAATGAACAGATCATCATTTCTGTGTCTCTTGGACTTTGATTGTTTCTGTAATTACATTTACTTTTTCATTTAAATCTTATTCAGTCCTCCAGAAACCGAAATCTCATTTTCAAATTATGACTACGCACCTCGCTTACACTGACAATGCTGGTGGCGTTTTGCCAGGAGAGAGCTGTCTGGGATTATGGGTTTATGTCATCACAGTAGAAAATAGTCATTTAATTGGATAACACCTACATTACTTCCAATGAAACAATTGCACAGCTTTTTTTTTTATGCGGTACTTTTCAGCCTGTGATTAAAGCAGCAAGCCACAAAAGAAATATTTTGGCTGGTGGAAAGGGTTATTTTGATTCAGTATTCACTCACTCATTTTGTTTCTGCTTCTCTGCTTGGGATAATCCTCCTCTTCCTAAATTAACTTCCTCTCCCTGTTTTTCCTGGGGCCCTGCAGGAATGTCTGTAGACAACAGACAGCACAGCACAGCTCCTGGGTCGTGAGCCAGACCCAGACACCCGGCTGCTCGGGTGGAATCTTCACTCCTTGGGTGACCCCAGGCAGGTTTCCTCACCTGCTTCTTTATTCCACATATGGGGTTGGGGATGTTACTAAACCTACCTTGCAAGGTTGATGGAGACCTAAACAAATTCATGTACATGAAACACTTCCTACCTGGTACTACTATAAACACATTCGCTTCTCTTATCATCACTGTGGGGAACATAAGGCTACCTGTCTGGAAATTTGCCTCTTTTTCCTCACCCAACCTGTGAACTCACTTCCTACTTTCAGTTGATATTCTTATTTACTATTGAAATTTATATTCTCGAAACTCAGAGTCGTTCTTTCTGAAACCGTTAGTCTTTTAGTGAAAATGAGCTTATCCTAGCAATAGTGATGTGTCTGTCACAGCTCCTGGGGTAGCATTCCAGCTCCTGGGCACTACAGACCTTGTGCCTGTGTATCCCTTCTGCCCCCAGCATCCCTGCTGAAATGCCTTGTACTGGGGGGAAGGGCAAACTCACCCTTCTTTCCCTGGCACTTGGTGGCTTTGCCTCCCTCCAGTTCTAAGGTGTACACACGCTTGGCTTCTAGGCTGCAGCAACATTCCAACAGGGTATGGCAAGGCTTTGCCTCTGCTCTAAGTAGTTTCCGGGACCTCAGCTGCAGGTGCCGGTCTTCTTCCTACTGGGGTGAGGGGAGTGTGGGAACAAAGGCAAGACGGCAGCTGCACCCACGGGGTTGTGAACTCTGCCTTTGGTGCGTGCCCCGACACTGCTCCTCCCATGAACCCCTGCATCCGTGACACATGGGTGCTTCCTTTCTTCCTCTCCACAGAACTTAGTGGTGTCTCCTCTCAGGTTCCGTTTTTGTTTTTCCCTACTTGAGCTGACAGCTAACTAATTTGAAAAAATATAAGCTGGACACAATACTCTGTAGATGTCTAATGGGCTGATTTCCTACAGCGCTGAGACAACAGTTATACTTTAACTGGTCTTTTTAGGAGATGTTCCTTAACCTAAAGGAATGGCTTTAAAAACAAGCAGTTAGGCCCTTTGTATGATAATACAACTGATGCTTGGAGGTAAATATTTAAGAGGTTTTTCAACCAAAATAGGTAGGTTTTGGATGGCTACATTTTTAAGGAATGTAAGAATTGTCTCAGATCAAGATACGCATACACATAAGTATTCAATATGCATTGTCTGCGTATATGTGTAATATGAGATCTGCAGCTGAGAGTCACAAACTCTTATCACCTATATAGCTGAACCAACCAGTATGAAGCCAGTAACTCAGTTGCTTCTTTGATCTTACTGAAATTATCTGACTAGCTAGGGAAACCACATCTCCTGGAATTTTAATATTTTTAAAATCAATAATGGAGTCCCTGAATCCATGTTCATGTCTCTTTTGCTGTCCCATGGGACCACCGCTAATGCTGGAAGAAAGAAAATAGCTCTCCCATATCATCTGTGTTGTGACTGCTGCCAGACATAAAACACTGAATGTCCTTATATCATCGATGACATGACCTGGGTCACAGCTGGAGTTCAACTGAGACAACTGCATCTAAGTTAGAGCTAGTTTAAAATTTAAAAAGGGGAGGGGGTCAGGGAGGGCATTGCGCCATAGCAGGTTAAGCTGCCACTTGGAATGTTGCTATCCCATATTCAGGTGCCTGAATTCAAATCTCAGCTCCACTGCCTCAGATCCAACTTCCTGCTAATGTACGTGGGAAGGCAGAGTATGAGTACTTGGGTCGCTGCCTTCCACGTGAGAGACCCAGTGGAATTGTGGGCTCCTGGCTTTGGCCTGATCTAGCTTCGGCTGCTGTGGGCCTTCGGGGAGAGAACCAGTGGATAGATGAGCTCTCTCTCTCTCTGTGTCTGTCTTTCAAAAAAATAATCTTGTTAGAAAAAAAATGACAGTTGCAGTTTTCATATAGAATCATTAAAGGATGGGTGATAGAATGGAAGAAGCTTCATATGGCCAAAACAATGGATCATATATTTGCTCTCTTTTCAAGATTTGTAGTTGACCTTGACTTTACTCTTAATATTTTGTATTTCTAAGTTTATAAGTCTTATACTAACTAATCATTATCAAAAGTAGATACTTCATATTTTCTTTAAAATTAGTGTTCCTCTAAACATAGGGAAGTACGAGAATGGCTGAGTCAAACAAATCACACAAGAAAGATGTGACTTTCACAAGCAGAGGCACTGGCTAGTCACTCTGCCACTGGACACTCCCAAGTTGCCAGGAGCTCTGGATCCTAAAGATCTCACCACAGAGGGGTGTCTGTGAGTTAAAAACTTGTGTTACATTCAGTGATGTACAGTTTGTACTTCAAAATGCATAAATAGTGGGCTCTGGAGACTAGCAGCATATAGTGCTTCCAAAACAAGGTATGATATCGAATGTTTACTTCCAAAGCGTAGCTGAAGACTTAGGATTTGTCACCTCTTTTTTTCAATGAGTAGGACAAAATTTCACATCTTTTCTTAAATCTTAAAACTGCACAGACTGTGTCTGAACCTCATGTGGGGTTTTGTTTTTTACAATCAGATCAGATAATTTGTTGGTATACAGCTGTATTCTGCTGCTGAACTTACCCCCACATATATTTCCTAAGAGGCAAAAATCTCATTTATAGAAATCCCTTTGTGGATAGTTTTTGAGACTTTGTACTAAGAACATTACTAAGACTCCTCAAGGCTTTTTAAAAATTCATATGCTAAACCTTAAATAAACTAACTTGTAAATTTGTATCAAATAGTTAGAGGTAGTTTTTAGAAATTAGAAATTCTAGGGCTGGCACTGTGGCACAGTGAGTTAAAGCCTGGCCTGAAGTGCTGGCATCCCATATGGGCACCGGTTCTAGTCCTGGCTGCTCTTCTTCCAATCCAGCTCTCTGCTGTGGCCTGGGAAAGCAGTGGAGGATGGCCCAAGTCCTTGGGCCCCTTGCACCCATGTGGGAGACCTGGAAGAAGCTCCTGGCTCCTGGCTTTAGATCAGCACAGCTCTGGCTGTTGCAGCTATCTGGGGAGTGAACCAGCAAATAGAAGACCTCTCTCTTTATCTCTGCCTCTCTCTCTTACTCTGTCTTTCAAATAAATAAAATAAATCTTTAAAAAAAAGAAATTAGAAATTCCTTGTAGTATTAGAAGAATATAATTGATTTTGTTCATTATATATTTTTAAAGTTTTATTTATTGATTGATGACAGAATGACAGAGAGAGATGTTCCACCAATGACTTACTCCCCAAATGACCAGTCAAGGCCAAGCCAAGCTAAAGCCAGGAGCCAAGAACTCCATCTGGGTTGCCCATTAGTGACACAAACCCAGATTCTTGGGCCAGCATCTGCTACCTCCCAGAGGGATTAGCAGGAGGATGGATTGGAAGCAGAGACAGGATTTGATACCAGGCTTACCCATAAATTTTTATATATATATATATATATATATATATATATGTGTGTGTGTGTGTGTGTGTGTGTGTATACATACCTTTAAAGATTTTATTTGTTTATTTTAGAGGTAGAGTTACAGACAGGGGGAGAGACAGAGAGAAAGGTCTTCCATCTTCTGGTGCACTCCCCAAATGGCTGCAATAGCCAGAGCTGGGCCAATCAGAAGCCAGGAGCCAGGAGCTTCTTCCAGGTCTGCCACATAGGTGTGGGGGACCAAGCACTTGGGCCATCTTCCATTGCCTTCCCAGACCATTAATAGAGAGCTGGATGAGAAGAGGAGCAGCCGGGAAAGCAACCAGCACCCATATGGGATGTTGGTGCTGCAGATGGAGGCTAGTCTTAGCTTACTATGCCACAGTGCTAGCCCCTCCCCTGAATTACATTTTAAATTCAGATAAATCCCATCAAGATTTTTTTAGATAATTTTTTAAAGATTTATTTATTTATTTGAAAGGCAGAGTTACAGAGAGGCAGAGAGAGAGAGAGAGAGAGAGAGAGAGAGAGAGAGATCTTCCATCCACTGATTCACTCCCCAGATGGTCACAATGGCCGAAGCTTCACCAATCCAAAGCCAGGAGCCAGGATCTTCCTCCAGGTCTCCCAGATGGATGCAGGGGCCCAAGGACTTGGGCCATCTTCTGCTGCTTTCCCAGGCCATAGCAGAGAGCTGGATCATAAGTGGAGCAGCCAGGACTCGAACTGGCACCCATATGTGATGCTGGCACTGCCGGCAGTGGCTTTACCTGCTATGCCACAGTGCTGGCCCCCCATCAAGATTTGGAGCAGCACTTCAGTGGTCTACATTTGCTTGTAGTTCTTTTTGTAGTTTGTTTTGATCTTTATGTAACATTCATCTATGTCCCATAATAATATGAAACTTTACTTAAATTTATTTTTATTAATTTTTGTTTTATTAGAAAGGTGAAGAGATAAGAATAGAATCTTTCATCTGCTGGTTTACTCCCAAAATGCCCACAATGGCTAGGGCTGGACCAGGGCTGAGCCAGGATCCCAGAATTGCACATGAGTGAGTGGCTGGGACCCAAGGAGTTCAGCCATCACCTGATCCCTCCCAGCTTGTGCATTAGCAGGAAGCTGCATCAGAAGTGGAGCTGGAACTTGGACCAGGCCCTCTGATATGGGACATCTTAACTGCTATGCCAGTTACTCACCTCTTGTGAAAATTTTTATACCATAAAAATATTAGAGCAGGGGCCAGTGCTGTGGTGTAGTGGGTAAAGCTGCCACCTGCGGCACCAGCATCCTATATGGGCACCAGTATGTGTCCCAGCTGTTCCACTTCTGATCCAACTCCCTGCTAATGCACCTGGAAAAGCAGAGGAAAATGGCCCAGGTCCTTGGGCTCCTACACCCACGTGGGAGACCCAGAAGAAGCTCCTGGCTCCTGGCTTTAACCTGGCCCAAACCCAGTGATTGCAGCCATTTGGAGAGTGAACCGTTGGATGAAAGATCTCTTTCTGTGTCTCTCCCCCATACTCTGTAACTCTTTCAAATACATAAATAAATCTTTTTTTAAAGATTTATTTATGTATTTGAAAGATAGAGAGCAAGAGAGAGATCATCCATCCTCTGATTCATTCCCCAAATGGCTGCAACAGCCAGGCCTGGGCCGGGCTGAAGCCAAGAACCACGAGCTTCTTGGTCTCCCACATGGGTGTTGGGGCCCAAGTACTTGGACCATCTTCCACTGCTTTCCCAGGCATGTTAGCAGGGAGTTGGATCAGAAATGGAGCAGCCAGGACGTAAACCAGTGCCCATATGGGATGCTGGTGCTGCAGGCAGAGGCTTAACCTTCTAAGCCATAGTGCTGGCCCTGAAATGACCATATTTCTATTTTCAGAAGTCTACAATGATTACACACTCAAAGTTGTTACTCAAAAGTAAGAAGATTTTGTCTTTGGCATTTGAATAGTTTAACTGCCACTAACTCCATGCGATAAAAAAACTACAGTTTTTATTTTTAAGATTGATTATTTGGGGCCGGCTCTGTGGCACAGTAGGTTAATCCTCTGCCTGCGGCGCCAGCATGCCATATGGGCTCCGGTTCTAGTCCTGGCTGTTCTACTTCCAATCTAGCTCTCTGCTATGGCCTGGGAAATCAGTAGAAGATGGCCGAAGTCCTTGGGCCCCTGCACCCACATGGGAGACCCAGAGGAGGCTCCTGGCTCCTGGCTTTGGATTGGCTCAGCTCTAGCCGTTGCGGCTGTCTGGGGAGTGAACCAGCAGATGGAAGACCTTTCTCTCTGTCTCTCCTTCTCACTATCTGTAACTCTACCTCTCAAATAAATAAATAAAAATCTTTAATAAAAAATAAAAAAAGATTTATTTATTTGAAAGGTGGAAAGAGACAGAGGGAGGGATGGAGAATGAATCTTCTTTCCACTGGTTCACTCCCCAAATGGTCAAAGCAACCAGGGCTGGTCCAGGCTGAAGCTCAGAGCCTGGAACTCCATCCAGGTATCCTGTGTGGGTGGCAGAGGCCCAAGTATGTGGGCCATCCCATCATCTACTGCTTTCCTGTTAGGTGCATTGGCAGAGAACTGAATCAGAAGTGGAGTGGCTAGGACTCATCGGCACTCCCATATGGGATGTCAGCATTGCAGGTTGCAGCTTAACCTGCTGTGCCACAAGGCTGGCACCACAGCTACAGTGTTTAAAGAATATGACATTAAAAACCACCACTGATAGAGTGAGGCATCCTGAATGTTTGGAATGGAACCGGTACAAATCGACACACCAATGCATGGCAGCCTCCCAGATTTCTCTATCTCCAAATAGCATAACTGTGCACTTTTTATTTTTTTCCTCCAAGTAGATTTTTCTTCTGCTCCTGCCCTTTGCCCACTTCTCCTTTCTATTTTTCCCCTTATTTTTTGCATCTTATTTGAAATGCAGGGGTAGAAAGAGGCAGAGACAGGCAGAGAGAAATTTTCCATTTGTTGGCCCATTCCCCCAAAATGCCTACAACCACTGGGGCTGGACCAGGCTTCAGCCAGGAAGCCAGAACTCCATCCATGTCTTCAGTGTGGGTGGCAGGGACCCAAGCACTGACAACATCACCCCTTGCCGCCCAGGATGGGCACAAGCAGGAAACTAGAATTGGAAGCAGAGTCAGAAGTCAAACCCAATGTCCCAGGTTGCATTTAACCCCTGCACCAAACATGCCCCCTCTCTCTGAGGCACAGCCTCCTACATGTGTGTGTCTTTGAGGACTGGGTCCTGCAGAGAAAAGAGCGAGGAAATAGGTCATCTGTGCTAAATATAAGAGGATAAAAATGATTCTGCATCCTGGTGAGAGACTGGGCTCTGGATGGGGTGCCCCCCTCATGCAGTGGCATCTCCTTTGAGGTTGACACCAGCACAGCGCTGTCATTTGAGTAATGTCCTGTGCCATGCAGATCAGCCACTCAGTCAGGGACATGTGCTGAGCAATGGTTACCCTCTGTGGGGAAGAGGGAATATTTAGCAACCACATCTCACCAGTGTCCTAGTCAGATGCCCCACAATGAAGGTGGACACTCAATCAGCCCTGCTCAGCAAGGCCTGGGCGTGAGATAGTTTCAGGTCCTCCTTGATGAAAACCACATAAAGAGAGGAGCTGGTGCTGTGGCGTAGCAAGTAAAAGCCGCTGACTGCAGTGCTGGCGTCCTGTATGGATGCCAGTTCAAGCCCCGGCTTCTCCACTTCGGATCAAGCTCCCTGCTAATGTGCCTTGGAAAGCAATGGAAGATGGCCCAAGTACTTGGGCCCCTACTCTCACCAGAGAGACCTGGATAAAGCTCCTGGCTTTGGTCTCACTCAGTCTCAGCCATTGCAGCCATTTTGGGAGAGTGATCCGTGTATGGAAGATTGATCTCTCTCTCTCTCTCTCTCTCTCTGCCTAGGCCTCTCTTTCTCTGTAACTCTGACTTTCAAATAAATCTTTAAAAAAAAACAACGTAAAAAGAACTATTATTTTAAATATTTAATTTGTTGCTGGGGATGGTTTTGCATTTTTCTCAGTACACTTTGGTTAAGTTCTTGAATTTCTGATTTTTTTATCTTTATTTACACTTAAGAGTTTTTGTTGGATATGATAACAACATGCTCTTTATTAAAAAAAAAGATTTATTTATTTATTTATTTATTTGAAAGGCAAAGTTACAGAGAGAGGAGGAGGAGGAACAGAGAGAGAGAGAGAATGCGTGCTTCCATCCAGTGGTTCACTGCCCAGTTGGTCACAATTGCTGGAGCTGGCATGTCAAAGCCAGGAGCCAGGAGCTTCTTCCAGGGCTCCCTCGTGGGTAATAAGGACCCAAACACTTAGACCATCCTGCACTGCTTTCCCAGGCACATTATCAGGGAGTTGGATCAGAAGTAGAGTAGCCAGGAATTGAACCAGTGCCCAGATGCGTTGTCAGCACTGTAGGCAGCAGCTTAAACCCCTGTGCCACAGTGCCAGCCCCAGCATGCTGCTTTTTTAAAAAGCTTTTTATTTTCATTCTACTTGAAAGACAGAGACTCAGAGAAATCTCACATCTGCTGGTTCATGTCCCAAATGTTTGCAAAAGCCAGGACTGGATCAGGTTGAAGCCAGGAGCCTAGAACTCAATCCAGGTCTCCTGTGTGGGCAGCAGGGACCCAAGCACTTGAGCCATCATCTCCTGCCTCCCAGAGTGTGCACAGCAGGAAGCTATAGTTACAAGCAGATTCAGGACTGGAACCCAGGCACTCCAGTATGGGATGTGGGTGTTCCAAGAAGCACCTCAACTCCTGCTCCACACACCTGCCCCAAATTAAGGTCTTTCTTGTCCTCTTGCCTCTGTTTGCCTTTCTCATCTTTCTTTCATTCCTTTTCTTTCCCATACCACTCTCTGGCTGGAAAGCTCCAAGAAATGAATGGCCCTCCTATGAAGAGACAGTCACTCCCTCAGTTCCCACTGCTTTACCCCTTGCCAGCACATAACAGATTGCTCTTGAATCTTGAATGTCACCAACAGACAGCCGATAATGGCTTAAGATGGATAATGACATGTTTGAAGCACAGATGGGCCTTCAAAGCAATTTTTTCTTTCTTAGGATTTCCTTCCGACATGAAGAATTCATTTCATTAGCACTGTTTTGTATCACTATCCCTTCTAAACGGTACCTGGGTGGCCCTCTTGCCCACCTTCAGGAAACGGTCACTTGCTCAGTTGCCTGGTTCCAAGAGGCTGTGTGGAATCTTTACTGCCGGGTGGCTATTTGAGCACTAGCTTCTACACAGGGGACTCAGCAACCTTGAACTTGAAGGCTGTCCCTGAGAATTCCACATGCAGCACTCAATTTGAAGTACAATTAAGAGAAGTACATGGGTTTTTACTTTAGAAGGTATCAGGAGCTATTAAACTCACTGAAGTAAAAGAAAGTAAAATAGAAAAGGTTTTGGAGTTTGCTGTGGTGTTTAAAATCACAGCGCAGCCAGAAGGGGGTGAGTGCACAGGGGTGACCCGTAGGTTTGTGTTTGCAGGTAACAGAGTCTCTTTCTGCTTTGTCTGCAGCGTCAGGCACCAGCCAGGAGGACATCGGTGGCCACTCTGTGTCCACCCCTGAGCACTACTCTACACTAGGAAGGCTTGATGGCTATCACCTTGCTGGGCAGCGCTCGGAAACCCGGGACTCCAGCAGCCAGACCGAGGACATGAAGGTGGTGCCACCTTCCGTGAGAAGAATCAGGGCATACAAGGGGCAAGGCATCGCTGCCCAGATGAGCCACCTCCCAGGCTCTTCCGGGAACATGTCAGTGCTGAGCGACTCAGCAGGGATCGTACTCCCCTCTCGCCTGGACGGCGATGCCGGCTTCCGTAGTCTCCCACGCTCTGGGGCCAGGACACGCATTCAGTCCCTTGAGTCACGGCTGGGTGCCCTGGGCCCTGCAGAAGAGATGGCTGGCACTCTCCCCTACCACAGGGGTAACTTACAAGTTGATGAAACCGTGGCTCCTCCAGGAGGTGTCTCGAGGACTGGAATGCTTCTGAGACCCCGATCCCAGGAGCTGAGGCCCTTGGAGAGTGAAAACCTCACCAGCCCTGCATGCGTGGTCTCTCCCCATGCCAGCTACTCCACCAGCATCATCCCCAACGCCACGCTGTCCTCCTCTTCGGAGGTCATCGTCATCCACAGTGCTCAGAGTGCAGGGCAGCTGGACAGAATTAGCAGCTCGTCGTCATACCCGAAGGTCACACCCAGAGACCACCTCGCCGCCAGGCGTGCTGCGAAGGATGGCCATCAGCCTCCCAGTGGTCACTGGAGTGGCGGCCCCACCATCATCCTTTCACAGGCCTTAGACCCCCGGGGCCCAGGGCTGTCCCTCTGTGATTCAGCAAATAGGGAGAACGGGGCCCACGTGGTGCCCTATCACTGTAGGAACAATCTGAGCTTCCCAGGCCACGCCCAGGATGTGGATTCCAAGAGCGAGTCCAGTTCTTCTGGGGGCAGAGGGCACGGCTCATCCGAGCCCTGGGAATCCCAAGCCTCGGGTCCTGGCCGTGCATCCCCACTGAAGCCGTATCCAGCCACTCCGGGTTACTCCACTCCCACAAGTAACATGAGCAGCGGCAGTTTGGACAACAAGGAAGACGGCGGCTCCGTGTATTCGGAGGACCACGATGGCTCCTCCCCGTCGCTGCTGCGCACGGACTCTGCGCGCGGGTCTGGCCACCTGGGCAGTAGCGCTGAAGGCTTTGGGAACCCCAGGCACAGCGTGGTCAATGTCTTCGATGGCAGAGCTCAGAAAAGCCAGGGGGACCGGCCCCATGATCACGATAAATCCCTTTCGAGAAGCATCTCTCTGAAGAAAGCCAAGAAGCCTCCCCTGCCACCATCCCGGACAGACTCCCTCCGCAGGGGCCCCAAAAAGAGCGGCCAGGCCAATGGGCAGGTGCTCAACGAGAGTCTGATCGCCACGCTCCAGCACTCGCTGCAGCTGAGCCTGCCGGGCAGGGGCGGCAGCTCGCCCTCGCAGAGCCCCTGCAGTGACCTGGAGGAGCCCTGGCTGCCGCGCTCGCGGAGCCAGAGCACGGTCAGCGCTGGCAGCAGCCTGGCCTCCGCCACCACCGCCAACGTGCACTCCCCGTGTGGGGCCACGCCCTCACAGAGCGACACGAGCAGCGTCAAGTCCGAGTACACTGACCCCTGGGGCTACTACATCGACTACACCAGCATGAGTGAACACCCGGGGAACCCAGGGGTGCCCACAGCCAACGGGCCAGCGCGCCTGGTCCCTGAGGGAGCCAGGGCCGCAGTGCCTCCCATGTCCAGTGCCTCCACCAAGCCAAAGATCCCATCGCCGGAGAAGTCCCACCGAGTCACCTCCCCGTCCAGTGGGTACTCCAGCCAGTCCAACACACCCACCGCGCTCACCCCGGTGCCCGTGTTCCTCAAGTCAGCATCACCCGCCAATGGCAAGGGCAAGGCCAAGCCCAAGGTGCCGGAGAGGAAGTCCTCTCTGATCTCGTCCGTGTCCGTCTCCTCCTCGTCCACCTCGCTCTCCTCCAATGCCTCCACTGAAGGCAGCGGCACCGTGAAGCGGCTGGAGCCAGCCCTGGCCTCACCGCCTGCTCCCCCTGCCGCATGCCCGCCGGGCTCCCCTCTGCCTCGCTCTCCGGTGTTCCCCCCTCCGCCACCAGAAGCCCTCGCGCCCTTCTGCTCCCCGACCTCCGACGCGGGCCTTCCGCCTCCTCCACCGCTCAGCCCTCTGCTCCTAGACGCAGCGGCTTCCTTGCCAGCGCCTCCTCCTCTCCTGCCCCTCTCAGAGCCCCCGCCTGCCCCACCGCTGGACCCCATATTCCTGAAGGACCCCAGGCCCTCACTGAGGAGCTCCAGCCAGCCCGAGCCCCTCCGGGACACCTTGAGGTCGCCTCCCAACAAGGAGGAGAGCAGCAGGCCCTCCCTGCCGCTCATCACTACCGAGGTGCTGCAGATGGTGCAGTTGAGGCCGGTGAGGAAGAGCCCGGACGCCAAGGCGGCATCGGTGCCCGAGCACGCAGCTCAGGAACAAGGAACCCCAGCCGCTCCGCAGTACCACTTAAAGCCATCTGCCGTTCTGAAAGCCCGAAATAGCATAAATGAAATGGAGAGCGAAAGCCAGCCTGCCTCCCTGACGAGCTTGCTTCCGACGCCTGCCAAGAACTCCAGTCAGGGTGACCATGACCGAGCAGCAGAGCGGGGCAGCCCTCCGAGTCGCAGCCATGGAGCTCCGTGCCTGGCAGCCGGCGAGGCAGAGTCTCAGCCTGGCCCCAGGACCGCCCCCCTCGCAGACTCTTCTCCCAGCAGGAAGCCACCCCCCATTTCCAAGAAGCCCAAACTGTTCCTGGTGGTGCCACCTCCGCAGAGAGATTGCGCCGCGGAGCCTGTGGAGAACGTGAGCGTTGCTTTCCGAGCCACCCCCAGCCCCAGCAGGACTGAGGAGGGCTCCGTGCACAGCCAAGGGGCCCCTGCCAGCTCTCATGAGCCAGACCCCAGCAGCTCGATTCTGGAGGCAGGCGCTGCAGGACCCGAACCCCCCGTCACAGTGGAAGCCGATGTCCCCATGGTACAGCCCGAGTCCTTGCCAACCCCCAAGCAGGAAGAGCCAGCCCAGAGTAGTGCGGATGATGGGGCCAATGTGGAGAGCAGTCTGTCTCACCAGAGCACAGAAGGTAAGCCTGGTTCCCTATCCCGTGCCCTCTGCAGCCCAGCCCCATCGGGCTGGGCAGCACTCGCTGGTGGGAACGCGGAGGGACCCCTTTGCATTCGTGGGCTTCTCACACGGGAGGTTACCAACTTTGCATCTTAGGAACTGTGGTGAGGCTCCCAGATCTAAGGGAAGAGCTTGCAGAAGTACAGAAAGCGGGGAGGAAGGGGTGATCTGCAGCGGGCTGGCTATTAAGCAGCCATGCGTAATCTCCCTGCTGAAGAGCTGCGAAGAAACGCTACTACGAAATTGAAAAGCGATCCAGTGCGGCTTCCGTGTGTTGCCAGCAAAGGATGAGCTCTGGCTCTCGCGCTGGTGTCTTTTTGCTCCATCCTTGTAGATTCTCAGACCCCAGACCTGCTGTGGCCCCGGGTGGTTCTCCTGCTGTTAGCGGCGGCAGGCAGGGAACCGTGTGTCCGGGAGCTTGGGGAAGGGCTGGGACTGGGTAGTTTTTGTGATCTTGTGTTGTCTCCTCGCTTCTCTAGCTGAAGTGCTGGAGACCGACACAGGCGGGGCTGCCTCCGAGTCTTGTGAGCCCGCTAAGGAAGACGGCAGTGATGAGGTGATGACCCCCAGCCGGCCCAGGACCACCGAGGACCTTTTTGCAGCTATTCACAGGTATACAAAGCCCCTCCCCTCGCTTTAACCCACTTTGTAGTTCCTTTCTGCCAAACGGCTCCTCTGTTTTGTTTCTTCCCAATCACGACTCATTAACCTTGTCCCTGATTTGTTTGTTAAGTCTCTCTGCACTTGTATTTCTCGAATTTCTGTTTTAGTTTGTTCCACTGATTTTTATAATGACATTGGGGACAGAGGCTCCACGCAGCACCTTCTGGCAGGCACTGATCTTACTGGCAGGAGCCGCAACGTGTCAGTCATGTGCCAGTGTTTACGAGACTTGGCTTAAAGCCACCCGCGGCCAGGTCCAGGATGAACCGCCGCGTTCTGTGTGCTTGAGGTGCAGCCTGGCTCGACAGGACTCCTTTCCAGGAGTGTTTTAGTTCATTATAATTTTTTTGCATTTCACAGAAAAACAAGGATTTTACAGTGTGATTTCTTTGGCTGCCTCAATGTTTCAATAAAAAGAGTGCATCCTTTTTTTTTTTTTTTTCTTTTTTTTGCACAGGAGCGGAAGGAAATGTGCCTGCTACCGTGTACTGGTAGTGCCACCTGCTGGCCAATGTTTTGGGCTCTAAAAACTACACCGGATAAAAATGTTTTAGAGTAACTGCCAGGACTGTTCCACTTTGGATGTGTGGTTGCCTTGAAGAGTAAATACGGCCTGGCACTGGTGTTTTTTAGTTTATTGCAGCATTTTTCTGTTTATAAGTAGCTGAAAGCTCCTATACCCGGATCATTGCACAGACTGATGAGCTTTAACGTGTGTGTGTGTGTGTGTGTGTGCGCTTTGTGCTGTAATGCCACGTAAACCTTTCACCTCCTTCTGCGCGTCTTCTCCACCATGTTTTCAGGTAACTCCTGTGAATGCCCTTGTGCCACCAGGGGCTTTTGTTTTGCCCTGAACGCAGGTCTGCTTTTCCTCCCTTCTGAAGCAAAGCAGCCTATAAAATCGCTTTGTTCTCTGCCTAAATAGCCGCATTCCGGCACTGTTTTCACACTCCTTGGAATGTAACTGGAAAGACTCTTGCATGAGATCAGAAGCATGGAGCTGCCTGGGACTCTTCCGCGACTGAGACATACCTAACTTTTGGGGGGCGTCCCAGGCTGCTGAGTTGAGGTGTTTGTCGGGAATCGCATTCTTTACCTCCCAGCCCCAGCGTGGCCGTAAACGCTCCTCCCTTTAACATTGTCGGACTGGTCCCATCTTTTTAAAGTTTCCTTAGAGGTGGAAAGCTGCCTGGTTGTCCACTCATTCCTCACAACAGGCAAACAAAAACGGCTGCATCCTCTCAATCCAACTTGAGTGGCACTTCCAGAAGTTTACCCAGATGTTTCTAACTTGAACTGTGCTATACGCATAGTAAGCATTCAATAAATTTTCTGAATTGGAATTTAACTGTTAGGACCTCCTTCCGAGACTCAGAGTCTTTCATTTAGCATGGTATGCCTCAACTGGCTAAATATACAGGAACATATATCTGTAATAGCACTCCACAGAGAAGACTGGTGTTGCCTGGTTGCTCTGTGTACTAAATACTTGTTCTCAAGGAAACCCAACTGTTGTGAGGCCAAATGGCTGCATTCTTTTCCTAAAAATATGCCAGTGGCCTCTTCTATATTATTATTTTGGCAACCTTCTTAAGGCACTGAAAAAATAGGACTGTTCCTTCCAGAAGGCTGCATCCCCTGCAGATGTAGAGTTTAAGCAGGCTGTATTACTCTGGATGTGAATGAGAGAGAGGGAGGGCAGGCAGGCCTTAGGAACCGGTTACCAAGAGAGAGCCAGGAAGCTTGCTGGTTTCTATTGCAGCAGTGATACTGTATCAGGGCTCATCAAAAAGTTCCTGGAAAATTATACATGGCCTTCAATATTTTATGCATTAAAAGAAACTTAGTTTGAACTCCATTTCTCCATGAGGTTTTGGAAGTATTCTCATGTTAGCAGATCTGCTCAAAATCCTCCTAAAGGCTGTGATTTCTAGGTCTTGGCTTCCCATGTCCTCCAGCGCCTAAACTCATAATTCACAATAAAGCCTCTCTGAATTGAAACAGAGCTTCCAAATGTTATCATGCAAATTAATTCACTTCAGATTTAAAGCCAGATGGAGAATGTAGAACACCAGTTGAGGTGTGAAGTTTTTATATTTATTGAAATAATTAGTTTTAAGCCAATGTTAACTGTTTAAGTACTTTTTATAGCCATCTTCTTTAGAAATGCATACATCTATGAATGTACACACACATCTTTGTGTGTGTATGTGTGTGTAGAAAAAGGAAATAAAAGATAAGTTTATTTTGTTGCAGAAACATTTGAAGTCTATGCAGTGTTTTCATAGTATACATTTTCCATGAAGTTTTAGAAGAGCCCCTTGTGTCTATGTATATGGAGAATTGTAACATTTAGATTTAGCTCTCCTTTTTTTAAAGATTTATTTATTTATTTTAAAGTCAAAGTTACACAGAGAGAGAAGGGGAGGCAGAGAGAGAGAGAGATCTTCCATCCACTGATTCACTCCCCAGATGGTGCAAAGGCCAGAGCTGCACCGATCTGAAGCCAGGAGCTGGGAGCTGCCTCCGGATCTCCCATGTTGGTGCAGGGGCCCTAGGACTCTGGGCCATCTACTGCTTTCCCAGGCCATAGCAGAGGGCTGGATTGGAAATGGAGCAGCCGGGACTCGAACCAGCACCCGTATGGGATGCTGCTGTGCCACTGCACCGTTCCCAACAGTGCTTTTATAAAGTCTCATCTCCTGTCTTATTATTTTTTTTTTTTTTGACAGGCAGAGTGGACAGTGAGAGAGAGAAACAGAGAGAAAGATCTTCCTTTGCCGTTGGTTCACCCTCCAATGGCTGCTGCGGCCAGCACTCTGCGGCCGGCGCACCGTGCTAATCCGATGGCAGGAGCCAGGTGCTTATCCTGGTCTCCCATGGGGTGCAGGGCCCAAGCACCTGGGCCATCCTCCACTGCACTCCCTGGCCACAGCAGAGAGCTGGCCTGGAAGAGGGGCAACCGGGACAGAATCTGGCGCCCCAACCGGGACTAGAATCCGGTGTGCTGGTGCCGCAAGGTGGAGGATTAGCCTAGTGAGCTGCAGCGCCGGCCATTCTGTCTTACTTCTAATTGATAGTTAAAAGCCATAATTTATTTTTTCTTAAATATGTATTTATTTACTTGAAAGGCAGAGTTACAGGGAGTGAAGGAGAGCTCTTCCATCTGTGGGTTCACTCCCCAAATGGCTACAATTGCCAGGCCGAAGCCAGGAGCCTGGAACTCCATCCAGGTGTCCCATGTGGGGAGCAGGGACCCAGGTACTTGGGCCATCTTTGCTGCTTTCCTAGGGGCATCAGCAGAGAACTGGATTGGAAGTGAAGCAGTCAGGACTCAAACCAGCATTCATAGGGGATGCCAGCACCGCAGGCAGCTGCTTAGCCCACTGCACTACAGTGCCGGCCGGCCCTAGGCTAGACCATTTCAGAGGTCCTTTGCAGCTCTAGAATTTGGAGATGTTATTATTTCCATTGCTTTCTAGCCAGTGTTTAACTTAGAGCAGAGCACTGCGCTTGCTGACCACAGAGCCACAGTATCACAGGCCACAGGGTGCCGTCCCAGAAGGGCTGGGGCACTGTCAGCTTGAGCTACCCTCCGCCCCTTTTCTTTCCATCCTCTGATTTGGTGGATTCTTTGTGGCCAGAGGCTAGACATCCTGGCAGCAGCAAGCCTAGGGCAGCCAACATGGACCTCCCTCTGTCTTGTTGTTCAAGCCACATGAAAACAAGCCTGACCTGGTGGCAGGAAGGGAGGATCTTGTCCCTAAATTACATGCACAGTTTCCTTAAGTACTTTCTCTATGCCTAACCCTTTTTTGCTGTTACTGCCTTCAAATGCATTAACAAACTGGACTTTACACTGTCTTTCTCCTTTTCTGATAGGAAGTAAGATTAGAGATTTTGGGTTGTGTTTCAATTTGAGAGAGGGCGAGAGAGAAAGACAGATGCTCCCATCTGCTGGTTGCCCCGGACAGTGCCAGAATGAGGGTTGAAGCCAGGAGATGGGAACTCTGGGAAATCAATCCAGGTCTCCCAGTTGGCAGGAACCTAACTCCTTAAGCTATCACTGCTGCTTCCAAGGGTCTGCTTAGCAGGAAGTGGGGGTCAGGAGTGGAGCTGGGCATCAAACCCAGGCACTCCAACATGGAGGCAGGTGCATTAGCCACTCGGCCAAACACCCACCCCAGGACCAGAGATTTCGACTTGGTCACTGTCACAATATGGAATTTTTAACAGTGGGATTTAACCCAGGCATACATAACCCCAGAGGTTCCCTGTCTCAATTCTCACCACCCAATGAGGTTGGCATTGTCACCCCTGTTTTACAAGTGTGGGAAGTAAGGTACACCATGGCTGGAGAAGTTATCCCCTGTCATACAACTAGAAGTCAGCAGTGCTAAAATTCATAGGGTTTAGGTTTTTTTTTTTTTTTTTTTAAGATTTATTTATTTGTTTAAAAGAGTTACAGAGAGATCTTCCTTCCACTGGTTCACTCCCCATATTGCCACAATGGCCAAAGGCTAGGCCAGGCCAAAGTCAGGAGCTTCATCTGGGTCTCACATGTGGATGGCAGGGGCCCAAACACGTGGACCATCTTCCGCTGCTTTCCTAGGCCATTAGCAGGGAGCTGGATCAGAAGTGGAGCAGCCGGGACATGAACCAGTGCCCGTATGTGGTGCCAGCATTGCGGGAGATGGCTTTACCTGCCATGCCACAACACCAGCCCCAGGATTCAGTTCTTAATCTGTATGTACAGATGTCATATCTCAACCTGTTCCTGTTGTATACTGTAGACTAAGAAAAAAAATCCATGCTTAGTTTTTTCATAATATATATTTTCCTTTTAGCTATTTTTTAAAATGAGGCTTTTTTTTATCACCAGATTCTCCTTTCTTTAAAAGATTTGTTTATTTGCAAGGCAGAAGGAGAGACAGACAGAAAGCGTGCTCTCTTGCACTGGTTCACTCTCCATACTCTTGCAGTAGCCTTGGGGCAGGGTCCAAAGCAGGGAGCAGGGACTCAGCCCACTTCTTCCTGCTGGAAACCCCAACTACCTTAGCCAGCACCACCACTCCCCAGGAACTGCATTAGCAGGAAGCTGAAGTCGGGAGCCGGAGCTGGGTGTCCACGTGGGGCTGTGAATGCCCTGATGACGGGCAGCTTAACCCTTAGGATAAATGCCTGCCCTTGCCTTCTTACCTCGGTGTCACTAGCTGTGGAAAGCCACTTGAAGAGTGAGACGGAGAGCAAGACATCCCCACAGGAAACCCTGCACCTTCCTGACTGGCCCCCGGCTCCCGCCCTGCACCCCTGCCCTCATCTTCTTGACCAGTGTGAAGTTCCCTGTAGTCGGTCATGGACAGGAACTGGCACAGGGTATTCTTGTTTTCAGGAAAGCCGGAGCCCTGGAAGTTGAGCTGCAGGCCGCTAAGAGCCGGGGAGGACTGTTTTTATGGCAGGTTCTAGAAGGACTGAGAACGTACATGTGTCAACTTGTTCCATGGCCTGGTTAATGATCATTGCGGGTGGCCGTGGACCCTCGTGGTACTAGCAGCCGGCTACTGTGTGTGTGTTGGGGAGTGGGGCACTAGGATCATTGTTTTAAGCAAGCCTTTAGTGGTGGTGACTCGAGATGCGAGCAGAGGGGTGGCTGTGGCCGGTTGCAAATTAACATTTACCTCGCTTGTTCTCAAATCTCAGATCCAAAAGGAAAGTCCTTGGCCGCAAAGATTCCGACGAGGATCACTCCCGAAACCACTCTCCCTCCCCGCCCGTCACGCCCACCGGCTCCGCCCCGAGCCTGGCCTCCCCCAAGCAGGTGGGGTCCATTCAGAGAAGCGTGCGGAAGAGCAGCACCAGCAGCGACAACTTCAAAGCTCTCTTGCTGAAGAAGGGCAGCCGCTCCGACACGGGCGCCCGCATGTCCGCGGCGGAAATGCTCAAGAACACTGACCCCCGGTTCCAGAGGTCCAGGTCGGAGCCTTCGCCTGACACCCCCGAGAGCCCGTCCAGCTGCTCCCCGAGCAAGAACAGAAAGGCCCAGGAGGAGTGGGCCCGGAGCGAAGGCCTCATGCCGAGGAGCCTGTCCTTCTCGGGCCCCAGGTACGGCCGCAGCCGAGCGCCGCCCTCGGCAGCCAGCAGCAGGTACAGCGTGCGCAATCGCATCCAGAGCAGCCCCATGACGGTCATCTCAGAGGGAGAGGGGGAAGGCGTGGAGCCCACGGACCACAGAGCTCGCCACGGCCTGGCCGCTGCCAAGGGACGTTCTCTGGACGGACTGGCAGGGGATGCGATGGACCAGGAGGGGGTTCTGTTGCGAGGCGTGGAGTCTGCAGATGGGACGGCAGGTGCAGAGGACGGGGGTCCATCAGAACAGCATGGAGGTGCCCGGGAGGAGGAGGGTTAGGGAGAAACCCCCGGGGAACGGGGAGCTGGGCAGTCAATGCATAGCTCTGGGAGGCCCGCGGGCCCTTTCCTGCCTTGCCCAGGATCGGATCACACTCAGTGTGTCCGTGTTGTGGGCCCCAGTGCACCAGGCCTGCACCTAAGGAGGGGTCATTTCAGACTCACCTGCCACTTGCCCTGTGGCTTCAAAGCAAGTAGAAGCTTCAACTTCGGAAAGTGCTTCCTGGGGAAGATTTTTTTTTTTTTTTTTTTTGTATTCTTATTTGCTCAAGGCTGGGGGTATGTGTGGGGCATGTGTGTGCGTTTTGAACACTTTTCTATTTTTAAGAAACACACACAGCATTACGGAAGTAGGAGCCAGAACGGCAGAGGTAAACCAGGTAGAGGAAGGGAGTCTACGGGTGGATGGAAATGAGGGCGCTCCCAGGGCTGGGAAAAGTCCGGGGCTGCAAAGGGGGTGCTGGGTTGGCCGGTTCTGAAGGCGCAGACCACGTGGACATTGGTGCACCGCACTGCGGCTGCAAGGCTGAGCACGGGGGACGCAAAGGAGCTGCAACAGGGCTTCTCTGATGCTTTGGTTCAGGTACTTTTTTTCGGGGGGAGGGAGAGGTTTTTGTTTCTTTTTTTGTAAAAATGATCAACTTGGAAGTGGCAACGCCGTAGAACTTGGTGCCCGCTGCTGTGCAGCCACAGATGCTCCATTTGGAGCCAGACTTTTAGAAGCGTGGGTGATTTTTAGATGCATTTCCCCCCTGGAGTAGCAGCCAAGACCTTTTTCGAGAATTGAACTGATGGTGTAGACACTGACAGTGTAGACAAGACGGGGGGGGGGGGGGAGAAGCGCAGGAAGGGGTAGGGGCAACGTGATACACTGCTGGGATTTGTTTCCTGCTTATTGAATAAAATTATTTTTCAGAATTAAATTTGAAAACTTGCACTATAGAACTGAACTGTGGGTGGAGCTTTTCTTTTACAACAGTTTTTTACTCGAGTTTTAACTCCATTTGGCAATTTCTTATCACTTGAAATGTCAACATTTGCTAACTTTTGGATATCCTTTTGGTTACACCAAAGAAAAAAGATGGCTATTTTTTCCTTAAGCTGCCTGCAGTTTTCATGACCTAACTTAGAAAGGTTTATCAAAAATCTATTATATATTATCACACTTTGAAGAAAATACTGAATAGCTCTTGTTAGTCAAATAAACTGATAAAAACTGGTAGGGCTTGGCTATTAATTGGCCCTGGGAAATGAGTTGTTAGATTAAAAAGTGGTTTTTTTTTGCATCCTTTGGTTTGTGTGTTTTTGTATTTGTTTGTGCATAATTCAGTTGCTAATCACCTTCTAATCTTCTCCAAGCCGAGTTTCAACACTTTCAGGCATGGGAGAAAAGTGTGTACCGTATTTATTTAATGTAATGTTCCTGTGGCCCTCACCCTCACTCCCGCCCAACTTCTGTGTACCTGGACTCCTTTATTTGTGACTTCAATAAAGCAGAGTCTTGTCCTGTTCATTAGGACTTTGGATGACAATACTGAGATTCTTGGTCTAAATCCAGTGCAACTATCAGTTGATCTCTCTCTCTCTCTCTCTCCCTCCCCCCCCCCATAAAACTATAATCTGAAAGTTGGGCTGCACAAACTGCTTATGAAATACAACTTCAGGTGTCCATTTGTGATGTGTCTTTGAGGCAGAAACAAAACTAAAGAATCAAGACTTTCTGAAGAACACCATACACTCACACAGTCAGAAACCAAGAGCTGACAACTGGCCAAAGGCAGAAGGGCTCCCTGTCACTTGGAGCCACTGTCTGCTTCCATCTTGGTGCCAGAATCATTTCTTCCACATTTTAGAAAAGTGACATTGGCTTTGGAGCAGCAGATCTTCTCACTATCTAAAAACAGATTAGAATGTATGTGGATATCAGAAATCTTTGCCTGAATGTCTAAGTTGTTTATTCGAAGGTAAGACAAGCAGCATTCAGACTAATTATAAGACTGTGAAAGCTCTCCATTTTAAAAGAGAAACTTATATTAGGTTCTAAATTTGCTTTGAATAAATAATTTCAAAGTAAATATTTGAAACTTCTGTCTTGTTGTTTATACCTACCTTTTTTGAACAATGAGGTAGGTGTTCTTGTGCAGAATTGTTCATTGCCTTGCAGGATACAAACAACAGCAGTGGAGGCCAGCAGGAGCCTGTGGGAGGTGGGGACCCAACAGAGAAGATAGCAAATCTCACAGACTCTGGGTGGTGGCATCCAAAAGGAAATAGAGAAAACAGCTCCAAATGATGTGCTAGGGACATTTGAATAGAATACCACTCATATAGACTGTTCCCATGCTGGGAAGCTCAGAGGGAGGTGACAACTTCTCTCTCATAGGCACACACACACGAAATAGAGGGAAGCAGGAATCTAGACTTGACCTTGGAACATTCACTCCCTTTGCCTCCCTTCTTCTCTGAGGGCTTAGGGGCAGCATCACATTCAGCATCTCGATGAGGGTGTACTTGAAGGCCCTCATTCCCCAGTAGTCATAGACAGAAGCCCCAGGGCTAAATTCTGTCCATTTTATTTTTGCCAAGTTGGAAAAGAAACAGATGAACACACAGTCTCCTGTTGGAAACAGCCTGAACCTGGGTCTTGATTTCTACCCTCCTCTTATGTCTGACAATTTTTTTTAAGATTTATTTGTTTATTTGAAAGGCAGAGTTACAGAGAGGCAGAGGCAGAGAGAGAGGGAGGGAGGGAAGGAGGGAGGGAGGGAGGTCTTCCATCTGATGGTTCAATCCCCAGATGGCTGCAACGGCTGGAATTGTGCTGATCCGAGCCAGGAGCCAGGAGCCTCCTCCGAGTCTCCCATGCGGGTACAGGGGCCCAAGGACTTGGGCCATCTTCCACTGCTTTCCAAGGTCACAGCAGAGAGCTGGATCGGAAATGGGGCAGCGGGACCTGAACTGGCGCCCATATGGGATGCTGGCACTGCAGGTGCTTTACCTGCTATGCCACAGCACTGGCCCCTGACAATTTTTTTTTTAAGATTTATTTTATTTATTTGAAAGAGTTACAGAGAGAAAGAGGGATATCTTTTGTCTGTGGTTCATCCCCAAATGTCTACAAATGTCCAGTTCTGGGCCAGGCTGAAGCCAGGAGCCAGGAGCTTCATCTGGGTCTCCCACAGGGGTGCAGGAACCCAAGAACTTGGACCATCCTCCACTACTTTCCCAGGCACATCGGCAGGAAGCTGGACTGGAAGTGGAGCAGCCAGGACTCAAACCAGTGTCCATATGGGATGCTGGCATTGTAGGAGTCAGCTTTACCGGCTGTTCCACAACACAGCCCCCCTGTCTGAAAAATATTTGCTGATATCGGTCACCTCTCATGTGATGACAGTGTATTCACTTGGGGAATCCAATGACAAGGAAAGAAAAGGAGGTAGTTCTGGGTCAATCTGATTCCCTACCCAGGGCATCCTAGGAGGACAGGCAAAGCACTGCACTGACTTTGCTGCTTCTGGCTTCATGCATGTCCTGGCTCCCTGGGAGCACCTTTCCCTGTTGCTGAGATTCCATCATGAAATGACCACAGAAGGATAATTCACTTTGGCAGATACTAGGATATGGTAGTTGGGAAACGAACGTCCCTTGATTAAATGTGGCCTTGCCCCCTGAGGTTGTTTTCCTGTAATAAGGAACTCGGTTACTCTAATAGTGTTCCTTACAACAGTCTGCTCTATAGCACAGCACAGGACCAGAGCAGTCCGTGGCCATTTGTTCAGCAGTGAGAAAAAGGCCATCATTGAAGGGCTTAAAAACCTGCTGGGAAAGATGAACAACTACCTGTCTTATAAAATATCACCAGCAGGCTAGATGAGGACCACTCTGGGCTCTGGCAAGCCCTGCTGGGTCCCACCCCTACCCATCCCAAACAGAAGACCAGAAACTGTTCAGGCTGACAAAGCTTGCAACCAAAACACTGTGCTCACAGCCTCTCTGCGGTCACCAGGGCCAGTGGCACAGCTTTGGCTCATGCAACATGGGCGCAGTCCAGAAACTTGTTTTCCTTCTGGAAGGTGCCTGTCGCCTCTCGCTGCTTCTTCCTGTTTGTCTGTTGCTGGAGGAAGAACAGTAATCTCACAGCCTCTGAGGCACCCGTGGTGATGGAGGCCACAGTCTATGGGTGGCCAAGGAGAAAGGAACCTGGCCTGTTGGTGGCATGTGGCATTATGGCACTGGCCAGGGGCTGTCTCCCTCAGTCCTGCTGGGTAAGTTCTTTTTCACTTCACAGCTGAGGGCCAGGACTGTCCCAGGAAGTTGCCACTGCTTCTGAGCAGGTGCACGGGGAGAGACTGGCTGTGATGAAGCTGAGGATGAGGAGGATTGCCCCAGCAGGGAGAAGTCCCAGATGTTTCAAGAGGAGAGAGAGCATGAGCAAAGGCACCGACAAAGTGTTTACAGGAAGCCATATTCCTCAAACAGGAAGTGGGGCTTGAGGCAGGAAGGGTCTCTGGAGACTAGAATAGAAATGTTAATTTAGATCCCAGCACAGCCAGATTCTCTTTCTGTGTGCTGCCATCACAGGCCCCTTAAATAAAAGATCTAAGGATTCTAGGTGCTCCTGGTGCGTTCCCCTGCTGAGAGGTTGTGGAGACCTTCCCCTGGGATCCGTCACCTGTTCAGTAAGCTTCAGGTCAGGAAACCAAGCAAGAAGTCAGGGTTTACTTTATTGGGGTGATCTCTCTCAGCCCCCTGCTCATCCATTCTTGCTCCCTCCTGATTCTGTATAAAGCGTTACCTTTGTTGACTTCCCATCTGGGGACATCATGTGCGACTGACCATCCCCATGAGACTGTACAGGTCGGGCCCTCATGGCTGCCATTTGGAGCTCAGTGGTTGATACGACCATGAGGACACCCTGGTTGCTGAGCTTAGCAGGGCCTCCTGGGCTCTTGGAGGTCTCATCATCGCCCATATTTTTCTCACAAGCCAAGTTCCATCCTGGCCTTTCCTGCCAGCCCCAGACTGTGAGGAGTGATGTCACTGAGCTCCTTGGTGATGCCCATGCCACTCTCTGCAGGGCATTCCCAATGGACTTGGCAAATGCTGAGTCCACTGGGACTTCCCCCAGGAGCACTGTCCTTTGCTGGTCAGCTTGCCTCCTCTATCCACCCCGGCACGCCCCCTTCCCTGAGCCTTTTCATTCCTTTACTGTTTGTCCCAGAACTCCCGGCATTTCAACATTTCTATCACTTTGTCTAGGCTCCCATCAGCTTTCCTAGAGCGATGAGTTTGCACTATCCACTGTCATTGCTTTCCTCTGTGCCAGTCTGTCATTGCATCTGAAGTTTTTAATAACTGGGCTACCTCCTTGTGCCAGGGGCTAGCTATGCAGCACATTCACCAGGAATGGGGGCCCCTAGCCTACCAGATGCTGAGTAACTCAGTCTTAAAATGCTGTTCTACCTATACTTTTTTTAAAAAATAAATTATTTGACAGAGTTAGAGAGAGAGGGAAAGACACACAGAGAGAAGTCTTCCATCTGCTGGTTCACTCCCAGGTGGCTGCAACAGCCAGGCCAGGAGCCAGGAGTTTCATCTGGGTCTCCCACGTGGGTGCAGGGGCCCTAGCACTTGGGCCTTCTTCTACTGCTTTCCAAGGCACATTAGCAGGGAGCAGGATCAGAAGTGGAGCAGCCAGGACTCGAACTGGTGGCCGTATGGAATGCCAGTGTTGCAGACAGATTTACCTGCTATGGCACAGCGCCAGCCCCTCTACGTATGGTCTTGGCCCCTATTACCAATTGTGCCGCTTGGAGGCTGAGACAGAGTTAGGAGTCCAGTAGATCCATGGTGCAGGGACTCTTCTGAAAAGGGAAAAGACTGAGCAAAGGAGCTGTTGCATTGAGTGCAGAGCTGACAAAATCTCTCCTAGGCCACCAGGGGGCGCCAGAGCTGTTAGCGGGGTGCTGAGTTGGGCTAGGTCTCCTGCCACCACTCTGCTGGGTGGTAGGCTATGTGGCCCCTCAACCTCACAAATTCTCAGTGTGCCCATATCTTCCATCTGAGGTGGACCCTGAAGAAAGGAACAGCTGGAGATGCCTGTTAACCTCACCCCTCACAGCTGAGCTCCTGGTACATTCTGGGAGGCAAGTCTGAGCGGCACGCTTCCACATGATTGTCAGCCACAGCTCCAAATCCCAGAAATGAAATGACCATCCTTCAGCACAGTAACAACAACAACAACAAAAGATCAGAAACAGTCAGTGACGGTCGGTGACCTCGCTTCTAAACCACGCTTCTAAATCGCACTGATCAGCAGCAGCCTCACTCTAATCACCACAGCGCCAGAAAGCAAGCTCCATCGAACGCTGAATGCTTTCACAAATCTGTTAATCCTTGCACTCTATGCTCCCTAAAGCCCTGTACGAGGCCAGCAGTTTTCTTTACCCAGGGAGACTGCTGGTCAAGCCCAGCTCTTTCCTGCTCTGCACAGCAACGTGGGCAGCACCTTGTTCTGGGCCCTGACACTGTCACTTCCCCTGAGATGTTTCCTTTCATCCGCTTGCCTCCCTCTTCTCATGCAGGTGCTGGGGGTCTCGTCTTCAGACAGGCCTTCCTGACCACCGTATGTGATGTCCGCCCCACTCCATCCCAGTGCCCTGTTTCACTTTTCAGTAGCACTTGCCACGATTTCCAGTCATTTTGTTTTGAACTCCTTCCCACTCTAGAAGCAAGCTGTTGTATTCTCAGCAGAGAGGTGGATTACACACAGGAGTGGAGGGTCTGGCTAAGGCTGATGAGTAGGAAATCCCTGGGGAGAATCTGTGTTCGTCATTGTCCTAGCCTAGCCCCTACCATAGTGCCTGCAAGGCTGAGACTCCATGATGACATAAAGACACTAAATGACACCAAGTGAAATGCTTAGAGGAAGATTTTGAGGAGGCCAAGTAATGATTCGAAAGAAACGAATGTGTGCTGTTTAAATGCGTTGTTTGCAGACTTCTTAAAAGACCAGGTCATCTTAGGGAAGACTCACACACACTAGACACGTGTGCTGGCTCTGTGGGAAGCAATGGTGGGAGGGGGCTGCCTGTCGTGGTCTTTGTGATGCTGTGACACAACCTCGAGCACTAAGGAAACCTCCGGATAAGTCTCGCTGGAGAAAGTGGATAACCAAGGCAAGGGAGACAGGGGCTGGTGGGCAGTGGGATTTGGGGTGCGAAGGATGGGCAGCCAGAACCCCAGCCCATTGCTAGCAGAGTCATGACAACACCCCCCCCACACACACACACATGGGGGCGGGGCTTCAGAGGAGGGGAGAGGTCAAAGCAGGAATCAAGAATCAGAACTACTGCCCAAGTGCAAATCTTGGCCTTGGAAATGAGGCTAGACACACGTTTCCTCCAGATAGGAGATGCAACACGGTATGAGAACTGTTCACCTAAGGGCGCTTCCTGGCCAGGGCCAGCGACAGCACCGAAAACAACGGATTCCCTGCTGGGAAAAGTACTCTCTGTACTGATGGACTGAGGGCAGAAACACGGTTAGTTTATGATTTAAGGAAGAGGGGGAGAACTGGATGCCATGGACTCGAATAGTGCTAAATCCATTTGTTTCCTGAACATGTTTCAGATTACAACTGAATCCTGGCCCTGAGAAATATGCGTCTCTCATTTGCAATGGAATTTATTGCATGGGAGAGGCATGTTTCAGAGAGAACTGTGTAGTCAATAGAATTATGTACCGCAGAACAGCACAAGTCAGTGCTGAGGATTCATCAGTAATGCTAAACGTGCTATAAAAGAAGGTTAATTTCTTTCTGGCACGCATAAACACGCAAGGAGTCAATAAATTCAAGAGGCAAGTCGAAGAAATACCTTTGGAAAATTATTGCCCGCTATGTGCAGATTTATACCCATAATCAGGTCAGAGCCAAAAATCTAGCTGGTTTTATATTAAAAAATTACAGTCTCAAAGGTATCTCAGAGGTCACAGTCATGTGAGTTATTGCCACAAGGGAAGAAAACTTTTATACACACAGCCAGCCCACCAGTCAGCGGCCTGAGAAAGCTGTGCTCTCGAAGGGCCGGCTACCAGTGGTGCAAAGTGGTTAATGGCACAGAAGCCAGACCACCTGGGCTCCAGCTGGCCTCTCTCAATTTGTTTAGGGTGCGTTACCTAACATCCACAGTTTCCCCATCTAGAAAAGGGAGGATGAACTGTGGCGCCCAGGGTCATTCTGAGGGTTGACTGTGGTAATTAGGCGGAGCACCTGGAAGGCAGCCCCTGACGCTGGGCTACTCTCGTACACTAGCCTATTGTATCCAGGGGTAGATTGATTGGTTTTTCGGCGATATCTTATAATGCTAGGGGTGATGGGACCTTAAGCATCATCCGGCCCCTCGCTGTTACCCATTGGATTCTGTATCACCAATACAATTGCATGATCTCTGCTTCCACACACAATGATAGGAGCAGGAAGTAGGGCCATCCGTGGGCACCTTTAATGGTCAGAAGTCACTGAGCTCCACCGTCCTTTTCTCCCCCTCTTGTAAAGCTGTCGTCCCCTATGGCCATCCCACAGCTAATGCTCCTTCAGTGACAGGCGTCTTTTCCAGGACAAGCATCTTCCAACACAGACAGGCAGGGACTTTCCAACTCCTTGATTTCCTAGCAACTCACTAGGGCACACCTAATTACTTGTATACCACCTACAGAAGTACCATATAGAATACTTGAAACACTCAAGAGAATTTGAAATGGCATGTGGGTGTACATGTTTTCAAAAGACATGCCTTTACTGAGTGTCATGTGGGATGGGAAGTCTCACTTCACAGACTCACTCTGCCACCAAATATGATCAACAGTTTAGGGTGAGCGTTTCCTTGCATAGTGGGAGCAGGGGGTGGATGGAGCAGAGGGCTCAACAGAGTGTATCAGTGGCAGCCACAGAAGACGATTTGATTTCTGCGATCAACTGAATTGGCACCTGTCTTGACAGCCTAAGAATTCCATCCCGGACCAATCTTAAACATTTTTATTGATAATACCTGGAGGGATAACAGCCAACTGACCCAAATGCAAGCAGGAAAAGGCAACGTGACTGTGATACAGCGATGAAGAAGGAAATGACATAACACATCCCTGGATCTTCACAGAGATACAGGCGACTGTAGAATGATGTCCAGTGTACCTGTCTGCAGACTACCGCACCTGTTACCTGTATATTTGCTAAAGTGTTCAGCATTAAAAAGGCACAGTGGAAATAGCTCAGTTCTTTCTATTGCTCTCAAGTAGAAGACACTAGATACATACTTTCCGTAAAGGTAGTGCTGTCTACGAGGAGACTTCATGGAATCAACGTTCTCCTAGTATAGATTTTCCATGCGCTTTCTGAAGACCCCTCGCCTATTAAACAGGACTTTTGCCCCTGGCCAGGAACTTTCTTTCATCTTCTCATTGACTTTCTTTGGAGGCTTCATTTTTCTGGATCAACCACACTTCATTATTTCTATTAAGCAATTTGAAAGGACTGTTGTAGCCTGCGGTGTAATAAACCTTTTCATCAAAAACTTTTCCTTCTTCCCTCAAAATGCTTGCTAACGTCAAAAGCTGCTCTTGATTCTTCTGGGCACTAGAGAATCCATCGAAGGACCTACAAAGGAGAAAGGAAATACGCATGAGTGCTTTCACTGCTGATGCGACTGTCAGACTGCAAAGAACAGCAGAGGCTGGAGGACGTGCAGCTGCAAGCTACCCCTCCCTCCACTCCATCTCCTGGGACCTCCAACCCACTGAGACCCAGGAGGACACCAAGTCCCACAGGCGGAGGGCGTAAGTCCCATAAGGTAGATCTGGAGCTCGCACGATCTGATGGGCTGTAGCCCTGTGCTTCTCAAATGCTAATGTGCATACAGTTACCCTGGGATCGTGCTGACATGCAGATTACCAGGAGGCCCAAGAGGCTGCATGTCTAGCAAGCTCCTAGATAGATGCAGACGCTGCTGGTCAGAGAAACTGAGCCCCCTAGAAGACTGTCACTTCGCTACTGGACACTCCTTTCTTCCTCTCCTCAGGCGCTGGCTGACAGATGAACGCGATACAGCTTTGACCTCTAGGCCTTTACGGCCTAATGGAAGAGACCACCATCTTGGCTGCCTGTAAAGTTCTTTAACAGAGGCAGGATCAAAGTGCGACGGCTGCATGGAGGATTTGATTAAACCTTGGTAGGGCTGTCCTGCGAGTAAGGCCTGGAAGCAGGGATGGTTTTGCTGAACAAAGAAAGGGGAGAGATGGAAAAGGGGGAAGGGTCTAAAAATATCACCAATTTTCACAGTGAGGCATAGGATGAGGTCAGAAAGGTGAGTCAGAGCCGGAAGGAAGAACTCTGGATGCTAGCCTAATGTCTTCTGAGATTCTTCCAGATCTGAGTAAGAATACAGGCAGAGAGAGCTGGTACATCGAATCGACCAGCAGGGAGGAGCTGCAAAGGAAGCTACTACGGGGATGAGAAAGAGCAGACAGTCAAACGATCTTAAAAAAAAAAAAAAAAGTTTTAGGTATAGATTTTTAACTATGTAAACAGAAACATCCTGAGATGAAATCAAGACAGCACACTGACAAGCTGAGCTGCTAACATACAAGTGCAATGAATGTGGCTTTAAAAGCAAAGAATAAGACATACCGAGAAGCAAACACACTCCTAATACACCTTATTTGGAATGTATTTTATTAATCAATGTGTTCATATAAAAAAATCAGCACCACTATGCTTCAGGTGGGATTTAGGCCCAAACCGTGTTGGTTCTACAGCCGAATCACTGGAGTCACCGCGAGCATGGCGTTCCCTGGAAATCCCTACTGACTGTGTGTGGGTGTCTCGTATGTACATGTGCGCAAACTAAAACATGGGGAGTGGGGGTTCAGCCTAGTGGTTAAGACACCCACTTTCCACACCAGAGTGCTGGCTCCTACTCCTGACTCCAGCTTCCTGCTAATGCTGACCCTGGGAGGCAGCTGTGATGGCTCGAATAACAGTTCCTGCCACCTGCGTGGAAGACCTGGATTAAGTTCCTGGCTCCCAGCTTTGTCCCTTCCCCAGCAGTTGTAGGCATTTGGGGAATGAATTAACAAATAGTCTCTCTCTCTCTCTCTCCTCTCTGCCTCTCAAGAAAAATTTTTATGTATATAAACCACTTTATTTGCATATTATATATATGCAGATCTATACATATAGTGCATAACATGATGGTTTAAAAAAAGAAAACATGGCAGATGAATTGGTACAACTTCTGTTCAGTAATTTTCATCATTATCAATTGCATCTAATTCTGAACCATGTGAAATATTTTGGCTCCTAAATTTAATATTTGTTTCCTCAGTGAATAGCCAAGGCTTAGAATGCTGGGTTTTAAGGGAATTAGCTTTCCAATTCCACATTTTCCTCAAAATCCTATCTTAAATCACTAATGAGAGATCTTTTGTTTTCTGGATACATGCCATTCTACAATGACGTATCTCCTACTTTATTCAGTATGAAACATATGCTGTAGTCCCATCCCCACCCTATGCAGCTGCCTTGTTGGAGCTGGAATGTGTGGACATAGTAGTATATCATCATATCTTGAGGAAGTTAAGTCCACAAATAGGCCACTATGATTCAGAATAACAGAGGGGAGGGCGCCAGAGGAGCTGGCTGACAGAAGAAACTGAAGGTGGCATCACATAAATGATGTCTCTTGTCCTGTGGGATGTAAGTGGGGTCTCCAGAGAGAGAAAAAGGACTGAAGCTGGTAGAAATGATGAGCACATTCTGAGTGTTTTGCACAAATTAGCTTATTCGATCTTCATGGCAGCCCTAGATGGGGAAGATCACTGCATGTTCAGGGAAGGGTGAGGGGGCAGGGAACTCCAGGGAGGCGAGCGGGGGCTGGGAGCCAGGGCTCGGCCACACTGTCAAGGGGACCATGGACACTGCGAACGGGCTGAGCTGCTCCCCAGCAGCGGGGGGGGGGGGGGGGGGGGGACCAGCAGGTGTTCAAATGTGATAATAGGCTAGGTTTTCTTTTTAAAAAAACTTTTAAATGTATTTTATTATTTAAAAGGCAGAGAGAGACACAGACAAAGATCTCCCCTCCTCTGAGTCACTCCCCCAAATGCCTGCAACAGCCAGGGCTGGCCCAGGCTGAAGCCAGCATTCAAGAATTCAATCCAGGTTTCCCACTTGAGTGGTAGGGACCTGAACACTTGAGTCATCACCACCGCCTCCTGGAGCTGCACGTGGGCAGGAACTGGAGTCGGGAACAGAGGCACCCTGGCGTATCACACAGGTGTCTTAACTGCTGTACCAAATGCCCTCCCTATGTGGGGTTTTGTTATCAGGAAGATCACAGCGAGCGCCAGGGTAGAAGAGAACAAAAGACAGGTAGCTCTGAGAACAGCTGGGAGGCCACGGGAGTGAAATGGTCAGAAAGAATTCAACTGAGATCAACTACAGCCTGATGTCTTCAGGCATCATGGTGACAACTGGGGTATCCAAAGGTGACTTATGTGCTGTCCCCATGAGGATCTGAGAACGATGAGGAAGGAGAGAAGGGAACAGAATCACAAACTATTTTTTTAGGTGAATGGGGTTATTCTAGGGAGGAGTTGTCAGGGAACAGTGTGCTGACTATGAGGTCCCTGCCGGTGGGTCCTGTGTTATGGCACAGCAGGTTAAGCCGCTGCTTGAAATACCTGTATCCCACGTGAGCTCTGGTTCAAGTCCTGGCTGCTCCACTTCCGATCCAGCTGCCTGTCAGTGTGCATGGGAAGACAGTGTGAGAGGACCAGAGTACTTGGGCCCCTTCCAACTCTGTGGGAGATCTGGATGGAATTCTAAGGTCCTGGCTTTGGCTTGGACCAGTCCCTGGCCACTGCAGCCATTTGGGGAATGAATCAGCAGATGAAAACCTCTCTGGGTCCCTCCCTCTCTCTCTGTAACTCTGCCTTAATTATAAATCAATACATCTTTCTTTAAAAAAATTCCTTGCTGGGAAGGCTGCCAGACTGATGAGGCCCTGTACTGAGACAGGCACTCTGAGAGGAGGGGTGGTTGGGGAGTTGTGGGAAAGCTTCTTTTCAGAACTGTTGAGTTTGGTCCCCAACGCCTACCCTCAGATGGAGAAGACCACTGAGTAGGGGAGTCAGATCTGGAGACAATTCCTAGAGAGTCAACAGACTCATGGAGCTGCAGCTGTGGAAATGCATCAGCCAGGGCCAATCTCCTATGAAATAAAGGCCAATAATGGGCATCCACAGTGATTTCCAGCGTGGTGAGCCAGGGAGGAGCCAACGGATACAAAAAACACAGCAAAAACAAAAAAATAGGCGGAGAGTGGCATTTGAACAAGAGTGGAGGGCCCAGGTGGTAAACCCTGGCAGCACCTGTGCCGTGCCATCTCCACCAGATCATGGAGTATGCGAGCCTCGGAAGCACAATGGCTACTTCCATAGAGTCTGAAGGGTGGGGCTGCCCAGAGCCTTTGATACTAGACCAGTGCAGAGGGGCACAGAGGGGGTGGGGCCACTGCAGTGTCCCTGCTGGGGCAATGCCTGGTGGAGCTATGGAGTCAGGGCACCCCCGCCCGGGACAGCACCACGGGCAATTCCCGCCTGGTAGAGCTGCAAGCAGAGAACTGCAGTCTGTGAGATCTGCAGTGTGAGCAGGCTGCCTGGAGACCTGGGAGCCCAACCCCTCCAGCCAAGTTTGAATCTGGAGCGTGGTGCCTCACACCAACAAAGATCAATGTCAAACCTTCAGGTGTGGCACTGACTTGCAACCTGTTACCCATTTCTTCTTTTCTAGGTCCCCCTTGGGAGATGGGACTATCTACCCCATGCCTGTTTCCACCTCTCTCTTTGGGAAGTCTAGCCCATGTTTGCTGTGTGTAACTGGAGAGAATTTGCCTCAGGATGAGTCATACCTTGAGCCTCATCCATATATGGTTTGGATGACATTCAGATGCGTCTTTGAGCCTCTTTTTCTTTTCCTTGTATGGGCTTGACCGAGAAGGGGAATGATGCTGAAGTCTCTGTGTAGCCATAGGGGTGTCTGCAACACTTCACTTCCTGATCTGGGACATGATGCGGGAGACAGGTGGTCTCCTTTTCTCCTTTTTTTTTTTGGACAGGCAGAGTTAGACAGTGAGAGAGAGAGACAGAGAGAAAGGTCCTCCTTTTTCCGTTGGTTCACCCCCCAAATGGCCAGGAGCCAGGAGCCAGGTGCTTCCTCCTGGTCCCCCATGGGGTGCAGGGCCCAAGCACTTGGGCCATCCTCCACTGCCTTCCCTGGCCACAGCAGAGAGCTGGACTGGAAGAGGGCAACTGGGACAGAACTGGCGCCCCAACCGGGACTAGAACCCCGGGGTGCCGGTGCCGCAGGCGGAGGATTAGCCTAGTGAGCTGCAGCACCGGCCAGTCTTTGGGCTTTAAGTGTTTGAGTTGATGCTGGAATCAGGGCTACTGGGTTGGAATGAGTAGATTTTTGACATGAGAAAGACATGAAATTTTTGAGACCAGGGGCAGAAAGCTGTAGACTAAATGGTTAGGTCTCCCCAAAAGGCATATGTTGAAAACCTAAGTCCCCATGTTGTTGAGGTACTGAGACCTTTGGGTGGTCACGAGGTCACGAGAGTGGTGCCCCATGAATGGCAGGTGTTCCCAAACCCTGGAGAACAGCTATGTAGGGACACACTGGGGAGCGTTGTCTGGGAAACAGAAAGGGGCCCTCAGACACTGAAACTGCCAGCACCTGGAACTTGTCTCCCAGCATCCAGGACTGTGAGAAATACAATGTACAAATACATTGTATTCCATAAGCTACCCAGTCTATGGTATGTTGCTATAGCAGCCCATCCCCCCCCCCCCCAACACAACTAAGGCAGGTACCATATACTGTGCTTTACGGTGTTTCTGTTTGGATCTTATTGGACTGCAGGTAAAGGCCCTCTTCCATTCTGGGGAGTATGTAATTTGCACTGTGTCTTCTACGTGGAAAAGATGGTGTGCGTTTTTTTATGAAATGAACTGATTACACCTTGCGGCAGACTTGAGTGACATACAAGCCAGAAGGAGAAGACCATGCAACTCATCAGACCTGCTTTGACGGAAGGGTGGAAAGCCTTCTGAGACTGCACGGGCGCTGTATTGGTGAGCGCATGCACCTAAAGCTAGCAGTCAGTTGAGCTATAAATTATCCAGCGCTCACCGTACAAACACGGTCATTCCGGCTCTGTCCTCAATGAAGACACCCGACTCCGAAGGCCTGGGCGGGTCAGATTGCTGTTCCGAAGGGAGGTACAGGGAAGTGGTCACGGTCGCCTCACTGAACGGACCTGAGCCAGGCTCCACGTAGCTGGTCACTGGCGCTGTCATCTTTATTTTCATCTCTGCACCACAAAAATAAAGCAAATCTGGAGGACTAAGGACACTTAAAAAAATGAGCCTTTTTTTTTTTTGAAAAAAGAAATAATCTGAGTTTCTTGATTAACTTTGCACAAACCACAAAAGTATTTTCCCTTGAAGATAATATTCACTGTAAGAAAAATAATGCCAAAATCAGTCAACTATTCCTGCAATAAACACTTTCTAATTATTGTTTTTGGTGACTATATTCTACATTTTTTTTAGAGAGAAAGGGGGAAACCGGCGATTAGCAATCTAGTCAATTAGTTTTTCTGTACAATTCAGACAATTAGGTTCAGGAGAAGTTTTAAAGACAAACAGTGGCAGAGGCAGAGCCCAAAATTATGACGTGGCAGCCTGTGCTAAGGGTCTCGAGAAAGTCCTGGTTGGAAAAACTCAACTTTGATGGTCGGGCTATTTTTTTCTGTTAGTGTATTTCTTTAATTAGCGAAAACACAGTGGTAGGTGCAATAGGTAAAAATCAGAAGGGGAACCGCCCTTACCTCTCTCGTTGTTGCCCTGAAGGTAACTGCTGAGTTTGGTAAAGCCAGTTTGGACGGCCGCGTCCCAGTCCATGGACTCGACGCTCGTGCTGACCCACTTGGCCGGTCCATAGTGTCGGATCTCGTAATTTCCGGGCTAAAAGGGACGGAGACAACTTCCAGAAGCAGGCCTGAAAAGTCCGCAGTACCGGTCTTGCAGCCTCGCTCTACCCGGAAAGGACCGGCCTAGCTGGCCCAGCCAGGTGTGCCTGAGCACTCGAGCCCACTCTATGTCACATTAACAACCCCAGCTCAGCCCGAGGGTCGCACCGCGGCGCCTCTCCCGCAAAGGCAAGAAATGCAGCAGCGGTGGCCCCCAGCTGGGGAGGGGCGGCGCCCACCCACGAGCGAACTGCGCAGTGCTCCGAGCGTCTCAAAAGCGACTTTTGACTTCATCCCGGCTCCATTGCAAGCCACCCCGAAGGCGGGCCCGCGCCCCCCGCCCACCCGGCCCGCGGGCGGCGCCTACCTGGGGGCCCGCGTCCTCCGGGGCCGTCCACACCGGCGTCTCCAGGTCTTGGGCTGCCGCATCCTCGGGTGTCCCGGGATCTGGCTCCAGCACCTCGGCCATGGGCGGCGCCGACGACACTCGGGGTGGGGGTGGCGGACAGAGCCTGGTCAGCTGCGCCGCCGCCGCAGGGCCACTCGGGCCGCTCGCCTGCGTGTGCGCGCCGGGCCAGCAGAGGCCCGCAGTCCCCGCCCCGCCGACGCGCACCCTCCGCCCGCACTGCGTGGACACCCGCGCCCGCGGCACTCGCCTGGTTTGAGCCGCCAGGAGGCGCCGCGAGCGCGAGGGGCCAGGTCCCGGTCCCAGCTCCGCCGCGGGCCGCACTCACTGCCTGGTCCCCTGTGCAGGTGAGCAGGAGCCCAGCCCGGCACCGACGGCAGGGTCCTTTGTGACCCGTCTTTTGGGGGTCCCAGACTCTGCTGCCACCCTTGTTTGTAAATGCACCGAGTCGCAGAAGTTTGCAGCTTGGGCAGCCCGGGGCGGAGGAGGGCTGAGCAGGGGCAGGTGCTGGAGGCCCTGCGGGTCATGGCCTCACGCCCGCCGGCCCCTCGAGGTGTGGCCTGCGCTTACCGGCTGAGGCGCTCCCGCCGCTGGGCCGGGGCTGCCCCTGTGCGATGTCCTGGACGCCAGCCCCTACTCGCCACACCTGGAAGGTGGCTTAGGGACCAAGCGGAGGGGAGCAGGCCACAGAGCATCTCGAACCGTCCTGTGCGTCATCTTTCCCCAGAGGGGTCCCCAGACCCTCAGAGTCATCTCATCAGACCTAGCAGTCCAGGGGTTGCGGAGGCCAGACCCTAGTGCTTTTTAAACATTTTTGATGAGACGCAGCCTTTAAGAGATGTATTGAAATGTAAAACACATACGATACAATTCACCTATTCTTGTACTGGTCAGTGGCTTTTCATGTATTTCTGGACTTGAGCAATCATCCCTGTTTCGGAACATTTTTGTCACCCCGCCCCTTGAAGAAACTCCATACCTTTGGCCACTGCTTCCTAATTTATCAACCCCCAGCCCTAGGCAGGGACTATTTTGCTGTCTACAAGTTTACAGGACATTCTTGTCAGTGGAATCATGACAGCAAGTGATTCATTGTGACTTCCTTCCATCCCTGAGCAAAAATGTTTTCAAACTTCAGCTGTGTTACAGCTCACAATCACTCCTCCATTCCTCTTTAGTTTTCCTTTTCATTTAGTTGGAAGACAGAGAGATGCGTAGAGAGCAAGACAGATGCAGAGTCAGCTCCCAGCCACTGGTCCACTCCTCGAATGCCCACAGCAGCCAGGGCCTTGCCAGGCTGAACCTAGGAGAGTGTCCCACATGGGTGGCAGGGATTCAAGGGCTAGGACCGACACCTGCCACCTCCTGGGGCACACAGCAGCAGAAAATGGGAATCCAAAGCTGAGCCAGGACTAGAACCCAGGCCCTCCCACAGGATGTGACATGCCCATGTGGGAGCTTGGGAGCAGGACCTTAACCATGTGCCACATGACCTAGTGCTTTTTTAATTAATTTTTAAATGTATATAAATGGGACAAATTTCATGTATCTCATACATACAGTTTTAAGAACATAATGACACTTTCTACTGCAACCTCACTCCCACCCTTCCTCCTATTTCCTTTCTTATTTTTCTTTTAATTTTTGTGATAATAATTTTTTTTGTTTGAAAACAAGTTTCTTCATTAATTAAAGAAACACCTAAGGAAACAAGCAATGGTGTTGGGCACTTAGGCTTGTCTAAAACTTATGTGACATAAGAATATCCTCCACTTAATTCGCTAAAGCGAAGTAAATCTTTGAGAACAAGTTTTACTATTAACTCTCATAATACAACTCATTGAAGATAGAGTTCCTGCATGGGAAGTTAGTGCACAGTGACTCCTGTTGTTAACAACACTCTTGCGTTTGACATCAGTGATCACCCGAGGCTCTCAACATGATCTGCCTAGGCTATGGAAGCCTTTTGAATCCACAAACTCCCTCAGTATTTAGACAAGGCCATAAGCAGAGTGGAAGTTCTCTCCTCCCTTCAGAGAAAAGTACCTCCTTCTTTGATGACTACTTCTTTCCACTGGGGTCTCAACCACAGAGGTCCTTTGTGTAGAACACTTTTTGCCACAGTGTCTTGGTTTTCCATGCCCAGAATGCTCTTGTGGGCTTTTCAGCCAGACCAAAATGCCTTAAGGGCTGATTTCTGAGGTCAGAGTGCTACTTTAGGCAATTGTCATTCTATGAGACACTGTGTGGACTGCTTCCCATGTTGAAGCATTCACTTCTTTTTAATTCTATCTATTATTATTACCAAACACTTAATCCAATTGTAGGATTGCTTTAATACTTAATCCTGTCCCTATGATCATTTTAACACTTAAAATGCTTCTCTCCTGCCCCCCCTTCACTTATGGGGATTTGGTGTCCCATGGCAAGTTTTTGAACTGTATCCTTAGAAGTAAGTCCATAAGAATGTATGCAGAACTATACATTTTTATAGTTACAAACTTCATGCATTTTATAATTACAACTTTATGACCTAGTGCTTTTAAAGCAACGGGCACCCATGTTTTCCTTGCTCCTCTCTGTGCCAACAGCTGTGCAATGGCCTGAGGACACATGACACTTTCTAAGTGCTTACATTCAATTTATTGTTATGCAGAACGAAGCTTGAATTATTTAGTGAAGACTCAATAATTCATGTTGGCTTATTTTTTTAAAGCATATTTTAACTGTGTGATGGATGTGGTGCGCTGCTTAGGTGACTTTGCTAAGTTGAGAATGCAATTTGATTTTATTGCAGGTTTTTGTTAAGAGGCAAATAATTTGTTATTTGTTAAGAAGTCTGTTGTTTTAATCAGCAGAGTAACTTTTACCATTGCCCATGCCCCTGGGTAGGGGGGAGAATTTTATCTATGGCAAAACTGAAGCTGAATTTGGAGCAAATCATTCTATAGCTGTAGAATATGCAATTAGAGGAGATAATAGTAGATTATTAGGCTGAATTATCTGTATTTAAAGATGGTAATTAGTAACATAAAAGAACAGAAAGAAAGAAAATGACTTATTTCCAAATAATGGGCTTTCACTTAGAATAAGCTTAATAAAATTCAGAAGGTTCAAGTTCTACACCAATATTTTGAGACAATCAAGTTAGCTTCCTTGTTGCTAGGTTATGTTTGTATGGTTCTATTAGCTGGTACTTAACCAATGTCTATGCGACACCACGAAGCAGACTGCATAGCTTTACAGAGAATTTTAAGCTAAGTTCCCTTTGCCACATTTCCAAGTCCACAAAGTGGAGACTGAGTGGGTGGAGAGCCACTCCAATACTCAAATATTTCTTGTTTATTTGTTTTCAAATAATTTGTACCTTCAATCAACAAGTGACATTTTAGGAGGAGGTATTTGATGTGAGTGCTGAAAGACTGAGTTGCACAGCCTCAGATCTCACTGGCTGCAAGCGAAGTCGATGTCTTGCTACTGCAGAAAATCCTCCCTGCCCTCTTTCCTCAAAGTCCCCACTGGGGCCGATTCTTTCAGACGCCCCCTGTCTGTGCAAAGCTGTGCCCTTCCATCAGCAGGTGTCTGCACCCTCACCCCACCAGGGAGGAGCTCTCTGGTTTGTCCTGCAGTCCTAATCACAGGCAGTTCTCATCCTTCTGGGTTAGCATTGTCACAAGGTCACCGCGAATACTGAAGTAGTGAATCCTGAACCACTGCTCCTGGGGGAGATAGTGGTTCCTTTTTTCAATGGATCCATGTGCAACCTTGTTTTGGATGTGTTTCTGTGAAAAGGTACCTTCTTTAATAGGCCTGGCTGATTCGTTAACATTGGACCACAGCCCGTGTTAGCATCTTTCAAATGTGAATGAGGTTGAACAAACACGTCTTCTCCATAAGGCATGTCACAGCCTTCTTTCCCTTGGGAGCATGGGCCAGCACTCTGGCCATTGTGAACAGCAAGATCATTCACAAAAAGCACAAAATGTGTAAAACGTGGCACATTTTAATAGGCTATGAAAAAAAGCCCTTGTTTACAGTACGAGAGTTAAAACAAGCAGGCGATGCTTCCCCCTTGTCCTACCCACGCTGGGAATGTGTGCACTAGGGACTTCAATTTCCTGCCACATTGTGCATGCCTGTGGCTGTGAGTTGTGAGCGATTAAAAAGTGCTTGGAGGTTCTTCCTGTGGAACTGCCAACAATATGTTTTCTCCAGTCTGTGAATTTGCAAATCCCACATCTATGAATAATGAGTAGCATTTACTGCAAATACTTCCTGAATTAAGTAATTTCCATCCATGTTTCATTGGACAAAGCAAATCACTGGCTCTTGATCAACCTGAAGGTGTGCGAAAGTGTAGTCACCCTGTGTTCTCAAGAGGTTTGTAAATATTTGAGAAAAGCAGTGTCTATAATGCTGTTCATTCATTAGGTGATTTTCTTTTTTAAAAAAGATTTATTTGAAAGGCAGAGTTAGAGAGAGAGAGAGATGGAGTGTGTGTGTGTGTGTGTGTGAGAGAGAGAGAGAGAGAGAGAAAGAGAGAAAGAGAGAGAGAGAGAGAGAATTATCCATCCACTGGTTCACTCCTCCAAAAGGTCACAATGGCTGTGGCTGGGCCAGGCTGAAGCCAGAAGCCAGTAGCTGCATCCAAATCTCCCACGTGGGTGGCAGGGGCTCAAGGACTTGGGCCATCTTCCACTGCTTTCCCAGGCGCATTAGCAGGTAGCTGGATTGTAAGTGGAGCAGCCAGGATTCCAACTGGCACTTGTATGATGATTTATTCCATACTTGTGTGGCAGATTTTGTTTTCCACAGTTGGGTGCAATGCTATTTCCTATTCAACATGCTATTCTTATGCATTAATTCTTCTTCTTCTTCTCCCATTGAAAAGTGAAGATCTGTGTTCCCCTTCCTTAAAAACCTAGGCAGGACAGGCACTGCAGCAGAAATAATCCTATGTGGCTTCCAAGCTAAATCCTTAATGCTGCCACCTAGTTATCTTTGGGGCCTTCCTGTTGGACTCTAACAGCCATGCTGAAGGGAAGCCCAAGCATCTCCCTGGAGAGCCAGGTGTTGGGTGCCAAGCAAAGTAACGGCTGGCAGCTGGCATCAACCACCACACCCAGGTGAGCAAGTGTTCTGATGGTTCCTGCTCCCTGCCACCTCAAGTCTTTCCCACTGAGACCCCAGAGGTCATGCAGCAGACACAA